TAGGCTACCAAAAGGGCAGGCGTTGGGGTGGGTGGCCAGAAACTGGAGGTGGCCAGAAACTCTGGGGGGTAAGTGGAGTCTTAAACAGGTCCCCTACCCCCGGAGCAGGGGATTCAAGTGGCCCCGGCACGCCTCAACCAGGAGTCAGCCATGGCAGGGTTGCTAGCAGCAGGAATAGAAGTAAACCAATAATTCTGCACCTCTCCCCCAGGAGTGGGAGGGTCGATTGGCAGGACGGGAGCCCTGGCTTCCACCAGGGAAATAGACCCGGGCTCTGGACGGGCATGGGAGAGAGCCCAGGGAGCCCTGAGCAGTGCCCAGGAGGCATCAGGAGGCTCCTGCAGCCCTCAGGAAGGAGGAGGTGGACAGAGTCCAGCCTCAGCCACTTGTCCCTCCCTGTCCTTCCTCTCAGGAATGGAAAGCACAACAGTGGTAGCCACAAGAGAGTGCCCCCAGGTGGGCTGGACTTCTACACCTTACTCAGCCCTGGGGGCAGGCGCTGCTGCTGACCCTGAGCTCCTGCCCTAGGCCCCAGCAGACCCGACCTGACCAAGATGGAGTCACTCATGGTAAATGCCACGTAACTGAACTGGAACTTCAGGTAAGCAGGTGGGCCCCCAAACAGGACAGGTTTTCCAGAAAACAGGAGATTCTGGTCACCTGAGTCAGCACAACAAGGAAGGCCCCTCTGCGTCAACCCTTGCTCCAAAAAGTAACCAGAGGCCAGTCAGTTATCTCCTGTTCCCACCCCACAAAGGGACAGTCCTGCCACGCCCGGCGGCTCTCCTTCTGTCTAAGGGCGTGGGGGACCGCGGACTCCTACAAGTAAAGGCCAGATGGACCTCAATCTGTACCTCAAGCCGCGGGATCAAGCCGCGGGATTGTGTCTGGACAGCATGACCACTGTCCCGTCCACAGAGGCAGAAGTCGAGGATCAGGATATTTTTGTCCAAGGAAGTACGACAAGGAAGAATGGAGGGGTGGGGTCTTCTCCTCCCCGTGTTCCTCCTGCACCACTTTCTTTAAAGGTGACTTTTTAAATGGCCCGGGTTCTCGACTTTGGCTAAATAGGGCTGACCTGCGCGACAGGAAATGGCAGGAGTTACGGGAAATGCCGTCCTGCCCTCAGGTCCAGTGTCTGGGAAGGAGGGTGAGGCTGGCCTAGGTGGGGTGGGCCGTGCGAGGTGGGAGGGCAGGGTAGACCCTGGGCTGGGGTCGGCAGGACTCCACATAGGAGCCTGCTGTCGGAAGCTGGCCCTTCTGGACCCGAGGGCAGCGGGCCAGCCCCGTGGCTCCCCCACCTGTGCCCTGACTCACGCTCCTCCCCGGCCTCCCAGGCTCCCGCTGCACCCCCTCCCACATCAGCACCTTGGCACTGTGGTCAGCGCTGCAGCCCTGGCCACTCAGCAGGGCCAACGCTGCCCTTAGGGTCCCCAGCTGGCCGCTGCTCATCTGGGCCGCAGCATGGGCAGCATCAGACACCCGAGCCCCAAGCAAAACCGTCCTCCACCCCCAGCCCGGCCTCTCCCTCCAGCCCACCCAAAAGCCCAATCTACCTGCGATCTCCATTCCCACTGCGCCACCCGTATAGGCCACCGCCCCCTCCCTGTCCACCAGCCGGTCTCCCTGTGGCCAGTCCTGTCCCTGTCCCCACGTGCTACCCTAACGACCTGTGGAAACAGTCATCCCAACATCCTGGGTAACAACCAACCTTTCTCAATGGGGGAAAGGCAGGAACAACCCTACACAGTAGCTACTGTCCTCCTGTAAACCAAGGCACAGAGAGGCGAAGTGACTCCACCAGGGCCACACAGCTGAGATGAGGTGGCGCCAGGATCCCAACCCAGGCAGCAGGGTCCTCCAAAGGCCCCGCAGGGCACCCAGTCAGGTGGGGGGAGGCAGATGAGACGGGTGTAGACAGGCTGTGGGTGGGAGTAGGGAGGCACAGGGTGGAGGGGCCCAGGAGGTGGTGCCAGGCCTGGGGCTAGCCCCTTTCTCTGTGTAACCTCAGGGTCTTGGCAGCGACCCCTGGAGGTTTTTTGATCACATTTTGCACATTTAGAAAGTGAAGCACAGGGAGGTTATGACCTCCCAACGTCACACAGCTAAGAGGGATATAAACAGGATCTGAACTCCACATCTGTTGGCTCCTGTGCCTTTTGGCTCTGATACACTGAGTCCCTGAAGGCTCAGCTCGAGGGCCCTGGGCTCAGAACAAGATGTCCAGGCCCTAAGAGGGGAGTACAGTGAGGACTTCATTACCCTGACATTGGTGGACTATCCCCTCCCTTACGTTGAGTGACACACTTTTGGTAATATAACCCCCAAATGGCCCTGGCTTTGGGGTCTCCTCTTTCCATTGTAGAATCAACCCAAGCCTGATTTAGCTCTGGGTCAAGGCAGGACACCCCTCCCAGCCCACTGTCCATATCATAACTCCAAAGTAACTCTGATTGCAGGAGTCCCCTGGCTGTGCATATAGGGGTGACCGCCGGCCGGCAGTTCATAGCTCATGGTGCTGAAGGGTGGTGTGAGATGGAGGGGACACAGTAGTTCTCTCTCTGGACAGCCTTCTCTTGTTTCTGTGCACCTCCAACCTCCCTCCAGGAACCCCCTCTTTCTGTGCCCTGATTAGGCATCGGAGCTGCCCTGAGCAGCAGGGAGTCTGACAGGGACCCAGTTAAGGGAGGAAACAGCTCCGTCAGGAGAGGGTGTAGGGGACAGCCCCAGGAGGGGCAGAGAGAAATCAGTGGCCACCCAGAACTTTCCTCCCTTAGACATCCTGCAGGAAAATCTCAACCCTGCAATAAACATCGAGTGAGCACCTACTGTATACACACCCATATTTTGGACAGGGCAGTGAGCCGGACAGAAGAGGCCCTGTCCTGTCCTCTCAGGGCTGAGCCCTACATAAACAAGAATATCCCGCCGACAGAGAGAAGTCACTCCTGACCCGCCATCCCTGTGACCCCACAGGTTGAAAGCCACCTCTTGTGCCCTGTCACTTCTCCCCTGCAGGCAGAAGCCCCCTTCTCTCCCCCTTTCTGCTCCTATGTGGCACATGCCTTGCTATGGCTGGTGTCATCCCAGGGTGACAGAGGCTAAAGGACACGCTGCTTACGCGGGCCGTGCGGGGTGCCCCTGGGCCCCTGCTGCGGGTGGGAACTCAGGACCTGGCTGCCTTCCTCTCCTGCTCTGCCACCTCCTCTCGCGCTTCCGTCCCACACGGAGCCTGAGACACAGACTGGGACTCCGGCAGTGTGCTTGGGAGGACGTCCCCAGGGGCTGTCGGCAGGGCACATGGGCAGGGAGACCACAAAGCAGAGAGCCACTGGAGCGAGCATTGCTGAGCCGGGCCAGGTGTGGGCAGCTGGGCTTGAGTCCACCAGGACCCTCCATGATCTGGGGGACCATGAAAAGGCATCTCAGAACGGCCCTGAATGACGGGGAGCAGGGGCCTGTCCTCGCTGACCACTTTCCCCCCCACAGGATTGTCCCTGGGGACGCAGCGCCCACCCTTCACTGGGGAAAGTTGTGAGCAGGAAGCGGGGCACTCAGCAAGACGAGGACCACCCGCAAGGCTGCAGCTGATGTCAGAGGGGGGCAGAGGGGACACGGCGCACAGGGCACAGTGGCATCCACTAGGGATGGTGAAGAGGCAGCGCCTGCCAGGAGCCAGATGGGTGCCCAACACAAACAGCCGCCCGGCCCAGCAGCGGAGGCGAGCAGCTCGGGACAGCTGCAGAGCTATTTCTTCTAACCTCCTTTCCCGATTTGGAAGGCGGTGCCTCCTCCGTGGAAAAACAGTGAAGGAAACAGGAGCACATTGGAGCCAGCTCTCCAGGCCTGGGGACGGGACGGGGGCAGCCATGGGTGCCCGGAAGGGAGTCTGCTTGCTGGCTCCGGTACAGCCTGCTCAGAAGTAGGAAAACGTGAATTGGGACAGACAAGGACAGAGAAGTGCTCCTGGCAGGAACCTGTGATCAGATGCCAGGGCTCCCAGGAGACAGAAGAGCCACCAGCCTCCTGTGCCCGCACCTCTCTGAGGACCCCCTGGGGGGAGAGAGGTCAGGAGGAAGATCCCAGGCTTGGAGGCAGAGGTCTCTGGTTCCAGTCCCAACACACAGCTACCTGCATGTCCCTAAAGTTCCATGTAGAGACGAGAACACTGTGAAGATCCCAGTTGAAAGCAGAGTGATCATGATTATCCTGACCCCCCCCCCAGAGCTGGCTCATAATCCCCAGGTACAGATGACACATCTGAAATCAGAGGGTAAGCCTCGTGCCCGGCTCCGTGCCTCAAGCATCAGACCCCAGACTTGAACCAGCTCCTGTGAGTCCCAGACCAAAGCTCCTCTGATCTCACATTTCTGGAAAAATCCGAAATGCAGCTGTCTAGGCACAGACACCCACAGGAAGACCCCACCAGAATGTCACGAGCTGGTGAAGGAAGCAGGGTGCAGACAGGCTGGGGGTGACCAATGACCCAGGCTCATCCTGGAGATGTGCAGAAGGAATCAAAAGAGGGTCAAGACCAAGGGGTGCCAGGAGTCGTGGACTCTCACCCTGATTCTGCAAGCCCTGGTGCTGATCCGGGTTTTCCCGTGACCGTGGTCTGCCTACAGGGTGCCTTTGGAGTCAGTGATCCTGTGGGCAACGAGTTCTGGAAGGTCAGTGGGGGTGCAGAGCTGGCCGAGGCTCCCTAGGGGAGCTAGCTCTGGGAAAGGGGGGTCAGGAAAGGGGGGCTTCCCTGTCCCCAGGGCTCTAATAAACTCTACTGATTGGAGATGGCCAGGCTCGATTTCAGCTGCAAGGACCTGACACTGCTCCCCCGACTCCCGACTCCCGCTGCCTCTGGACAAGAGCTGGGCTCGAGTCACACTCTGCCCTGCTCACAGCCCCGCGGCCTCCTTCATGTGGCTGAGTGTGTACCAGGGCGGGGGATTGTGACGGGGTGGGAGGAGGCTAGGGGAAAAAGCAGCCACCTGTTCACCCCAGTTCTGCTCAGAGCCTCTCTCCTGTCCAGAGCCACCGAGTGGGACAGGATGGTGGGAGGCAGACCCACACACCTCAATTCTGAGCATCTGAGCACTCACACCAGTTGGGCCTGAGTCCCGGAGCCAGTGCGTGGGTGCCCGCCTGTGCTCCTGTTTCTGGAAGCTTCATATACCAGGCACAGAGGTGCGAAGGAGGGACGCCGGACTCGCCCAGGGAGAGGAGCCGGCCTGGCAGCCTGGGAGGGAGTCTTCACTCTCAGACCTGGGTGTCTTGGCATCACCCAGCAATCAGACGAGATGGATGTCCTCCCAGGACTGTTTTTTTGTTTTGTTTTTTTAAAGTGGGCAAAACCTTTACCCTTTTCCACTCTGTTTCCTCGTCCTGTGTAGGGGATAACAATAGAGCCTTCCTCCAAGGGCTGTGGTGACTAGAATAGAGCCTGGCGCACACAGTCTCAGCCAATGGTTGCTGCTTCTCAGTTGTTAGGATCATTCCTATAAATGCGTGCGTTCAAGTACAGAACCTGCCGGAGCTCTGGCGGCGCCCGAAGAATGGCTGGAAGCGCAGGTGGGTAGAAGCTGTCAGTGGATGACATCGAAGATGGAAAGAGACACTTGATTTGCACCTGCTTGGTTGAGTTATTGTGATCTGGTATCCATGGAAACTGCTGAATATCGATACTCAAAATGGGCAGCTTTTCTCTGTGCTCAGAGCAGTGAGGGAAGGGGGTGCTCTGCACTTTGCTCCCCGACAGAAGCGGCAGGTTCCTCGCCCACCCTGTTCCTCTTTCTCCACCAGGGAGCAAGTCCTTCAAGTGCAGTCAATGAATAAAGGACATTCAGACATCAAAGGTCCAGCTGGTTTCTGGGGTGCAGCAAATGCTACCCATCTTAGTTGTGGAATGAACGCGTGAGCGAGGGCATGGAAGGTGGGTGTTGTCCGATCAACTCAGGAACCGGCAGGATTGACCTGTGGGTAAGTGACCTCGGAGCCGTCGTCTGGGAGGGCTGGGGAGGGCAGGCTTAGTCATCACCTCTCGCTTTGGGCTCACACAAGGCTCATGGGACAAAACTGGGTTCTGTTTAAGACAAGGTCTAAGCGGTGAAGAGCTACAGCTTGGGGTCAACCCAATCTGGGCTGAAGTGCTGGCTCAGCCGCTGCCTTGCTTTGTAAACTTCAGCAAACTCTTTTATATTTCTCCAGGCCTCGATTGCTTCTCTATGAAGTGGCCTGACAGTGTCTACCTCTCAGGGATATTCTGCAGGTTGAACAGCCCCTGTGCATAAATGTGCATTTGTCACGGGGAAGGAGACGGCACCATCTTCCCAAGAGGCTCTGTGGAGCAGGCATGATAGCCGGTCTCTTCTTTCAAGTGATTCAGATCCACGAACGGGAAAGTCTTTGTAGACTGAGGAGTGCTGTGCACAGATGAGCGCTCACAGCATGGCTTGAGTGGCACAGAGGTCTAGGGAGACCTGGAACCTGGAGCACTGCTGGGACCAGCTCCCCAGCCAGGAGGGAGGGGACCACGAAGCAGGAAGACCCCAGGAGCCTGGCAGGGAGCTCCATCCACAAGCCAGGTACGCAGAGTAGGACTGCGTGGGGTCAAGACCTGTGCCTGACTGCCTCCATGTGCCCTTGGGTAAGTGGTTTAACGTCATGGGGCCTCTGTGTTTCGTTGGTGGTGAGGGTATAGCATGAGGTTGTCATGAGGATGAAGCCCTGTAGAGGGCTCAGCCAGTCCCGGGATGCAGGAAGTGCTCAGTGAACGTGGCTGCTCGCACTTCTCCATCTGACTCCCATGCGCTTGTCCCATCTTGTCCCATCTTGGTGCACAGAGTTTAGGGAGAAAATGGAATAGAAGGAGAGCACCGTTTAGGGCTGACGTGGCCTTATGTGACAGGTTGTTTTCACACAAGACAGGGACCACCCTTACGCCCATTTCATGGTGGGGATCCTGCCCAGCTGCTGCCAGGACACACACCAGCTCTGTCCATGTGCAAGGCCTGTGCTCACTGGCCTCTAGGATCCTGTTCCTGCTCTAATTGCAAACACTCTAACTCCCAGAGCCGAGAGGGAAACGCAGACAGAAGCCGGGTGGGTGCTTGGACCCAGCCTGCAGCCCCGTCCCTAGTTGTGCCCAATTTCCACCCATCCTCTAAGCCCTCCACTCTCCACTATGACCCGTTGTTTGGGGGCAATCTCCAGGGCTGGTGGCCCTGGAAGTCTCTCCAGGAAGCTGGGACAGGGGCAAGAATTGCCAGCTTGGTCTTTGCAACAGACAAAAGCATTATTAGGTAATTGCATTTGTCCCTTATCTCACTCTGGGCTTTATTACTTCCCGGGGGAGATGCTGTAACCACGGCTTCTCTCTGTAAATTAAGCCATTCTCCTGCGGCTGAAGGACCGCTACCAGGGGAGAAGTGAGGAGTGGTGGGGAGATGACATCTTCAGGCAGCAGGGACACCCTGTCCCTAGACTCAGGATGTGCTGACAGGCCCTCCGTGGCTCCTGGGAGCACAGCCAGTACCTTGCAGAGAGGGTGCTGGATACAGAGGAGGAAGCATGACTCTGGTTTGCTCCAGGCTTTCTGAGGGATGGTGGATACCAGTGCTAAGCCTCTCTGGTCCCAGGTTCTTTGTGGGTCAGGTAGGCACAATTGCTCCTGCTCCCAGGAGGATCAAGCCAGCTTGAGACTGGGGGAAATCCACATCTCATCCCTGTGTCCTTGTGGTGGACTTTTTAAAGAAAAAATAAAGATAGCTTTACCGCCCTTCCTCTTCCTGTAAGGGACCTTAGGTGATCCGTGGAAATAGTTCCCTACTCTCTTGACCCAGAAATCCCACAAAATCATGAAAATCAAGAGCTCAAATCTTTGGGTTCACTTTAAGAACACCTGAGACACTGCCTAGGCCATCAAGAGTGTCCATATCTGAAAATCACCAAATATCTGCAAGATATCACTTTAAAGAAACAGTATGTGCCATTCCAGCATCACAGTGGTGGGACTGGGAGGTGGGCCCAGGCCAGGCGTGGGACTGGGCACAAGTTTGGTGGCCTAGAACAAGAATGCAGAAGTTTTATTGCACTTGCTTAAAAATGCAGAGTTTGGCGGAGTTGCAGGGTTTAGATGTAGGTTCGCTAGTCTTGGAGCACACCCAGGTGAGCAAAGTGCCCACATGTGCCACACTTACAGAGCACAGGGCCGATTACCCCATAGATGAGCTCCTGCCACACAGAGCTGGTCCCCCCTGAAGAGGAACAGATTATTCTTGAACCATAAGAAGAGGTTGCACAAAGAACCAGTCATTCCAGAAGAAACGGAGGAACAAAAACTTATAGCCTGGGAGTAAATTCAGCGTCAAAGAAATGCAAATAAAGTTTCAGAAAACAGCTTTATTGACATACACTTGTACAAATTTCAATTGTACAGTTTGGTAAATTCTGAGACGCGTGAAGCCATCACCCAGTGAGCAGATCCAGCTCTCCCAAGACTCCTTCTTGACCCTTTGTGATCCCTCCCTCACTCCACATCCCTCCCACCCCCATCCTCAGGTAACCACTAATTTGCTTTTAATTAGTCACTATAGACTCATTTGCATGTCCCAGAATTATAGGTAAGTGGATTTATACAGAATATGCTCTTTTGTATGGCTTCTATTGTGAAATTCATCCATGCTGCTCTGTGTACCAGTACTTCGTTTTCATTGAAGTAATATCCAGTTATGTGGATAGACTACAACTTCCATTCACTTACCTGTTAGGATATATTTGGGCTGTTTCCACTTTGGGGATATTGTAAAGATAAAAAGCCTCAATGAGGGGCTGGGGATGTGGCTCAAGCGGTAGCACGCTCGCCTGGCATGCGTGCGGCCTGGGTTCGATCCTCAGCACCACATACCAACAAAGATGTTGTGTCCGCCAAGAACTAAAAAATAAATATTAAAAATTCTCTCTCTCTCTCTCCTCTCTCACTCTCTTTAAAAAAAAAAAAAAAAGCCTCAATGAACTTTCATGTTCATGTGTTCAGATGCACTCATTCCTCTTGTGTGAATACCTCGAAGTAGAATGGCTAGGCCATATGGGAGGTCTAAGTTTAATTTTTAATTTTTATTTTAATTGTCAATGGACCTTTATCTAATTTATTTATGTGTTGCTGATGATCAAATCCAGTGCCTCACACATGTTAGGCAAGTGTTCTACCACTGAGCCACAACCACAGCCTCTAAATTTAATTTTTAATGACACCAACAAATTGTAGTTCCAAAATGATCATATCATTTTACATTCCCACCAGTAGAACAAGAGTTCAAGTTCCTCCACACCTTCATAAGCACTTGGTGCTCTCAGTCTTTCTAACCTAGACTTTCTAATAGGTGAACAGTGGAGTTTCATTGTTTTAATTTGCATTACCAAAGAACTAATGATGTCAAGTATCTCTTCAAGTGTTAATTTTTGTTACAGTTTTAAAAATGTTTTAATTCTGTAAGCAATACATAACTGCTTTAGAAAATACCACTAAGTATAAAGAAAAAGTTTTAACATCTGCAATCCCACCACCTTAAACATCTACTATTAACACGATGTATGTCTCTGCACATTGTTCATGTATGTGTGTGTGCACACATTCACATGAGGAATCAAATCACACATGTGTTCTCCACTTAACTGTGTATCATGAGCATCTTGCCATGTCCACACATTTCTAAAATATCAATGAAAATACCTGCAGAACATTCCATGGTGTATACATATTAATTGTATTAATCGATCCCCAGAAGCTGGACATCTGAAAGTTTTCCATCTGGGGCTTTTGTAAACAATGTTGCAATGAACATCTTTGGTATCCACATTAGCATACTTGCTAAATATCTGGGTCAGAAGGCTTTTTTTTAAATGACTTTTAAATTAATTTGCTGATATGTTTTGGCTACTTTTCAACCTGAGTGTTTTAGCCTGGGTAAGTGACATCAACACATCTCTCCCTTCCATGCTCTGGATCAACAGGACAAAACTTTTCATTCGTTCATTTACTTCATCATCATTAACATCCTCCCGTCTTCCTCTACTTCTTCCTCTAGGGTTGGGATGAGGAGGACCCTGGGAAGCCTCCTGACTCAGCACCCTCCGTGGTCTCCCTGATACTGGAAAGCGACCCTACTGTGCTGTTTACCGCTGCTTCTCCAGCACCAAACGCAGGCCTGGAACATAGTGTGTGTTGGATAAACCCTGTGGAATTAATGAATAAATAAACAACATAGCAAATGGTCACTGAACTGTTTTCTTCTCCCTGCCTCTCTCTGGGGCAGGGAATATTAGCTCCAACTGGCAGATGAAAAGACTGAGGCCCGAAGGGCTTCAGAACTCTGCCAAGGCTGCAGAGCTCTTGGCTCAGAGAAGAGCCTGGGTCCCCAGGCCCCTTTCCCAGCCACTCTTTGCTCTTCATTAGGAGGGAGACTAGGCAGATCCCTGGGGTTCTCTCTGTGTCTTCCATTTTCCCTTTCTGTTAGCAGAGAGGCCATTAAAGACAAGGTGACCTTTCTAAGTCCTGCAACTCCAGGAAAAACAAGCCTGAGACACAGCCCTCATTTTTTTGGTAGGAATTCTCTGATCTTAGGCATTTATTACTTAGTGGTATTCAATCCTCTGGAAGGAGATCTCTCACTGGGATTGCAGGATAAGGTGGTCAAATTGCCTGAGAAGGTCTTCATTCAACCACTGGTCCTGAACTACTTGTCCTGAGCTGGGAGAACTGGGAGCAGAGGGGTGCTGTGGCTTCTAAGTGCCCTCATCAGGGGTGTGGCAGCATCCAAAGGCCTCTGAGGCCCTCCAAGCTGAAAGGCTCTGATTATGAGGTTCATTCTGTAGCTTTAGTTGTCCCAAAGCCTCTTGCTGAGGCACAGTTCTTCTCTGGAAAAGATGATGTGTGTAGAATATAATTCACTGTTTACATTTAGGGCCAAATGATTCTCACCGAGTGATTTATAACAGAGAAAGCTGAGAACTTGTTAGTCACCTCAATGTACAGAAGCAGATGAACAGATGTCTGGATGTCCTTCTAAGATGAGACAGGCTGTCATAAGCAGAGCCCTCTGAGTATTATCCGTAACAAACTGTCTTCTGAATTGGAGGTAAGAAATGTCCTAGATTGTCTTGTTGCTTTAGAGGGCTCCTGGAGGTGTGGGAGATGGCTGGTGAACCAGAAGCCATCGGGTCAGCAAGGAAAGGGATCTCTGAGATAACCTAGTCCCAATCTCTCCCACCATCTCTTTTGACATTATAAAAGAGGAAAACAGACCCATATAACTGAATTGATTTGATGAAGGCCATCGAGTCAGTAAGAGTTAGAGCTGGCACGAGGTCTACAAAATGATGCAGGAGAACCTAATTCCCTCCTCCTCCACGGAGTGCGGAGGGCTGTGGTGGGGATGCACATCACTCCTCTGTTCTCCAGTTCTGGGAAGTGGAAAGCGTCTAACTGCTGGAAATATGTTGAAACCCCATGCATTTGGGGGTAAAAGGCCACTATTCTACTTATTTTTTGATGTAAACCTTTAGAGTTTATACAGCTAGAAAAAAGGGGCATAGCTTAAAACCAGGGTCTCCTGGGATCTAGACAAATCTCCAGCCTCCGCCTGTGCTCCCCCTTGGGTGATGTTTCAGCACCACGGACAGCATCCCGCAGCGCGCCTGCGCCATGCTCCACCCGCATCAGGACCAACCCACCGAGCAGGGCTTCAGGGACTCGCCTTTACCTGAGGAGCCAGCGTGAACACTTTTCACAGGGTGACACACAGATATGGGGTCCCAAATGGACCCATCCCAAACATCCCAACAGGGCCCCCCACCTTGCAAAAACACCCCACCATTGTTCTCATGGGTTAAGTGATTTTTAAAAAGTAGTCCGGTTCCTATGAATGCAGAGTCAGGACTGATTTGAAGCAGTGTCTTTCCCTCCTGAGGCCTGAAATCTATTTTGCATGCCAGTCGCCAGTGCAAAGGGTGATAAGCAACCTGTCGGCTGATGGTCAGGGCTACGCCATCTAGGAGAGTGGAGAGAGAAGGGGGCTTGGGACTGACCAGAAAATGCCTTGGGCGGAAATCATTGAGTGGAAATGGCGAAGCCTTGAAGGTTGGGAAAGTGGGAGCAGAGGCATTTTGGTCAGGAGACATGGGAAAGAGGGGGCAGGGGTGTGCCTGGCACCTCCAGATACCAGGGGAGGCTGGAGGAGTCGGGACAGTGGGGGGATGGCATGACCTAGGCACAGTGACTGGGGAGAGGGAAGTGGGACTGGGAGAGGGGAAGCCAGACATCCAGGAGGTGACCGCGTGGGGCACAGCTGCGGCAAACCTTCCTGTCCTTTCCTTAGTTCCTTTGCCTAGTCACACCGCTTCACCCTCACGTTGCTTGGTGCCCTGTCCCCCACTTGCCTGCATCACACACACTGCAGAGAAGGTGACAGAGGATGTCCAACACGGGGCACCTCCTGCTGGGGTGCAGTGGGGAGCTGCGAGCAGAGGGAGGGAGCGCTGCAGGTGGGCCAGGTGGAGGGGCAGGGGACGATTCTTGGGCAGGTAAATGGTGCCAGGTGGGCACCTGCACTGACGGGGGTCCAGGCAGGAGGAGGACCCCTGTGGGGCAGCTGGGGAGGCAGGAGGGAAAACAGTGACCCACTGCTCAGTCTCTGAGCTGGGGGCCCTAGGTGAGGGCTGGGAGATTCAGGGGAAGGAGGCTGTCGGCTGATGGGCTCTGAGATGCCATTCGGCAGGGAACGAGCAGTGCCCAGCAGTGCCTGCAGGGCCAGCCCCCCGGGAGCCCCTTCAGACCACTCAGTTCTCCCCAGTTACCTCTCTGTCTGGGCTCCTGACCCCCTGCTGCACTGGCTGGGAAAGGGCAGGGCCTGAGCGCTGGGGGCACCAACTACCACCCTCCCCTCAATAGGGACCAGGATCAGCACCCCTTGCCCCCTAGGAACAGCTTCTCCTTCCTGGGCTCTCCTGCACAGGGAGCTCGACACAGCCGTGGGAGACTCCATCAGCCTGGACATCAGCCACCAACACGGACTGCTCTCACAAGGGCCAGACCTGACACCTGATAACTCCACGCTCTTGCAGGAGCCCAAGGAGGCCAGTGCCACCATCCCTGGCCCTGTTACTTAGATTTAAAGACAGATGCCCTCTCAGAAGCCGAGCTGTCCAGTCCTGCTGACTCTGGAGCTTACAGGACCTGGGTCATTTGTCAGCCAAATGGAACAACATAAACAAGGGCCGCGCCAGAGCACAGAACCTGGGGGAGGAGGGAAGGGGCATGCTGTGGAGAGGGGGGGGCACTAACAGGTGCTGAGCTCCCCCAAAGGCCGAGAACTGGCTGTTTCCTTCTGTTAGCTCCCGTGAGCAGGCTCCGCGTGCGGGGCACCCAGTATTGGCGAGACTGGGTATTATCAGTTAAGTTCACGGTAAATCACACAAGAAGTGCTTTGGTCATTTTTATAGAACAGGAAACAGAGACTCAGAAAAGTGACTTTTCCAGGCCACACAGAGTACTAGGCAGAGCCAGAATTTAAAATCAGTCCAAAGAGCTGCTCTTTTCACCTCCTGAGCTGCTTCCGCCAGCCAGCAAGGGCTGTGGGGACAGGGATCACCCTGAAGTCACTTGGTGATGCCTCCCTGGGAGGCTCTAGAAGTCCACCTTCAGGTTTTCATGGAGTTGAGGGCCTGGGGCCTGGGGCTGGGCAAGGGGGTCCTCCTCCCCAGAGACCTAGCTGCCTGCCCCTTCTTGGACGCTCCTTTGGCCTGTTCCCAGGCAGCATTGACCCTCCTCCTTCCCCACCACAAGGCCGAGTCCCGGCAGGCAGGCCAGCCACCTGGCTTCCTCTGCCCTGAACCTAACCCCACCTGCCCCCAGGCCCGCAGCTCCCCGAGTTCCGGTCCATTTGGCGTGACACCGGAGCGTGCGTCACCCGTGCGTCACCCAGTGGCTCTCCTGCAGCACCTTCCATGCGGGGCCTCTGCAGGTGGACCCCCAACACCTCCCTCCGGGATGTGGGAGTTTCTGATCCTTGGGTGTCGCCCTAGAAAACGTCATGCTCAGGGGGAGGCACTGCTATGGGTCCCCGTGGGAATGTGGCCCTGGGGAGTGGGACAGGAGGTGGGGCAGGGTTTGGTCCAGGCCTGGTCCTTCTTGCCCACTCACTGTACCTTGTGTCCTCAGTGAGCCAGTCCCGGGGCCCAAGGCTTGGTATATGAGCCTCCCCTGCCTGCCTCTCCCATAACCCGCCCAGCCAGGCCCTTGTCCATCCACAGAGGAGGCCTGGGACCGCTTGGTTAGATTAAAGCAAACATCTGCCAAAGAAGAAAAGCAAAACCTTAATTGGAGGCCCCGGGGGTGTTTGCAGAGACAGATGGGAGAGGATCTAACGAAATCACCGTGCACTGGCCTCTGAGCAGACCTCGGAGATAAAGCTGCATTGCCCGGCAACAGGGCTTTCCACCTGGAGGCCTGATAAGGGGCTGGCGGAGCTGCACGTTTGGAAAATATGATTTTGTGAGCGGGGGCCGAGGGCATGTTGACGCTGCGGCTCAACGCCCCAGGCCCCACTGTCAGATAAGCAGCTGCCACTTTCCCTGGGGGACCAGCAAGGGCTGTCCCCTAGGACCCCGTGGCAGGGCCTGCCTACGTGAGGCATCCTGCACCCAAGTTACAGGAACAGATGGGCAGACCCTCGGGTCTGGTTCTGGTCACCAGAGGCAGCAGGAAGCAATGGCTTTCTCTTGTCCTCTCTGACTCTGGTCCAGGCCCCCTGGGACAGCATGGAGTGTTAGGACTGCAAGAACTAGCTGGGTCAGACGCTCTACCCCAATACCCCATACCTCCTGGGGCTCCTTTTCTCCCAGTGACTCCCTGATCTTTGGCTATCTCCTCCTGTTAGCATCTGCTTTGGAGTAAAAGCCCAAAGTCTTCACGGAGGTCCATGAGGTTTGGCATCTGGCCTAAACAGTGCCTCATCATCTGCACCCACTACCTAGCTCACTCTCTTCCAGCTGCCTTGGCCTTTTTGCTTTACCTCAAAACTGCCACAGGGCTTTTGCACTGGCTATTCATTTCTGCTGGGAATGTTCTTCCTCTATGTATCTGTACTGCTCTCTATCTAGATGCCTTACTTAAGTTACTGTCTCCTCGAGGCCTACCCGACCACTTACTCAGCGAGGCCCACAGCCTGTCACCCAGGGATTCCACAGCTCCCTACCCTATTCAGCTCTCTCCTTTTCCCACAGCAACCACCAACTTCTAACCTGCTGTATGATATACTTATTGATTATGGTTTACTCCTTGTCCTCTGTTTCCTAGTACCAGCTCCAAGATGCCAGGAAGCTTGTCTCTGTTCTTCACTAGCCTATTCCAGGGAGAACAGAGCTGAAACGCAGTAGGTGCTGTTTGCTGGATACAGAAAGGCCTCCTCTTCCCAGTCCTGAAATGGCTTTGGTTGAATGGGTGAAAAAGAATCCGTGCTCAGAATGCACCTCTGCCAGGTCACTGAGTTGCCCTAGGAAATATCTGGAGCCCCCCACCCCGAGCCCCACCACCTGGACCTTTGTCCAGGAAGAAAACCCAAGGCTGGCGTCTGGTGAGCTTGGCTTTCATCCGGCCCTGCCATTAATTTTCTGTGTGACTCAGGACAAGGCACCATTCATTTCCAAGTCTCCATTTCCTCTGTTGACAGGTATTAGCATTTACCCCCTTTATCTAGCATCAATAAGCTTTCACATTACAACTTTTTCACATTACAACTACAGCTTGTGGTCAAATCCCACTCTGCCCCTTCTTGGCTGTGTGGTGTTAGGCAGTTTAAACAACACCTCTGAACCTCTACCTGGTAATCTATGCTGTGTGGCCCTTTTGCAGTCTTTCACTGCTGAGCTCTTTTCTAACTTCTGATACAACTGCTCTCATTTGCCTCCTTATGGGAAATCATGGGACAGTGGATACTGAGGGGGCACTTGGTGAGTTGCCACAGTTCTACCCCAGAGAGCTCTCCCCAGCCCCTCCCTGGGTGCTGCAGCTTGGTTGATGTGAGGCCTGCTCGGTTTCCCAGCCTTGAGGGTTCCGTCCTCTGTCCATCCTCGCCTTTGGGCCTCTACCTTGATCAGAGGCCTGGCAGAGGCCAAGCGTTGATGACCCTTGCTTGGTAGGACAGGGGTCTAAAGAACCATCTCCAAATTGACAACCAAGAACCATGAAGCCTGGAGCCAGGGACAGAGGGGAAGTCTGCAGGAGACCAGACCAAGAAGGGCTGAGGCCTCAGGACACGCAGTTCCCCGTGGCTGCGGGGCCAAGGACCTTCAGACACACCCCAGGCACAGCCAGAGCTGGGCAGCACCTGTGCCTGGGTTCCCTGGGACACAGATTTATGGAAGAGGGGAATCCCCAGAAGAGGAGTGGGGAGGATGTGAAGCACGGCTACGGCGAGCACACGCTGTCACACGCTGTCACTCAAGTGTGTGCCCTGGAGCCACTCACCAGGAGAGACAGCTCCGTCCACCTGGAGACGCTGCGAAATGGTACAAAACAGCCGTCCTCAAAATGATGCCCCGGGTGGGGGGAGCTGGAGTGAATGCCCGAGACACTGCAGAGGGCTGCTCCTTGGGGCGTCCCGATCTTTCTGTACCCCCCCCCAAACATCATATGGAAAAAGGCTTTGGGTACAAAAGGGGTGATCCTGGCCGTGGGAGGTGGGTCAGACCTTTGACAGAACCAGGGGAGCTGGGCAAGGTTCTGGGTGCACCTGCTGGAGTCGGAGTAGCTTTGGGGGGCAGCCCTGAGTCTGCAGTTCCCCAGGGAGGCACCTGGGCTGCCTCTGGGTCTCTCTCTCATGGTGTCAGCATTTTGGGGGCTGCACATGTGAGGATCCCTCTGGAGTCCTGGGGGACCAGCTGGCGGGGGCTCTAGTGCCCTTGTTCCCGGGCTTGGTGCCCAGGAGAGCTCCAGGCGCAGCAGTTAGATGGGTAGTGTCTGCCCTACAGAGAGGCCAGGACACCTGCTCCCTGCTCCCTGCTGCCCGCCCCCCCCTGGGCAAGAAGACCCTCCTGCATCAATAGAAATAGCAATTATTTTTGTCATGGTAAATTAAACTTTATATAAATTTATGATTTGATCATTTTGAGGAGCACAGCTCAGTGGTGTCAAGTACATTCCCATAATTGTGCAACTGCCACGGTCTCCAGGACCCTGCCATCTTCTGCACCCACAGAATACGAACTCCCCATCTCCCCACACCCCAGGCCTGGGCAACCACTGTTCCCTCTGCCGTATGTGAATCTGATCAGAGGTGACATTTTGCAAAGTGCCTCAGTGTGCTTCTCACTGTCCAGCTGTGGCTCCTGGACGCTGTCGCCTGGCCTGCCAGTCTCGAAGGTCTCTTACTTGTTCATGAAATAATTAAAAATGCTGCAGAGGTCTGTGTATGAGATTGTTCTTTATAACAGCAAAAGCACAGTATCTAGTACGTGCTATCAATCAAGTGTGTGACACCAAGCTGGACTCCATCGTGAGAAACAGAGTATACAGGTTGGAAAATTACTTACATTGCAGTACACAAAAAAATTGTGGCAGACAACAAAGCTCATAAATGCATGAATGGGGTCATTTCAGTCCAGTTTTTCATTTAGGGACAGGAAATGGGCACAGGTATGGAGCAGGAAACAGCAGCAGAGGAGGGGCAGGAAAAAGGAGGGGCTCTGGAGGTGGCAATCGGTGCCAAATTATTACCCAGATGCCAGGTTCACGGTGACACTGGCCTCAGGTAGCACAAGTTTCCCAATTTGGCATCCAGGATGAGAGCAGCAATAGGCCAGAGAATCGAGGGTCCCAGGGCAGAAGGAATCAACCAGGAAACAGACCTTCCCCCAAACATCCAGGTTCCAGAACACAGCTGGTGGCCGCGGCACGAAGGGGCTCCCAAGAGCCGGCCTCTGGCTACAGAGCGGATGCCACACAGGACTCCGCTGTGGGCTTGACATTAAAACCCGGAGCCCACCCCGCCCTCACCACCAGCATAAAAGTGTCCAACAGTGGCCGGGCCCAGGAGAGGGAGCCCCCAGGAGCCGCGCAGGCAGAGTCCCAGACTCACTTCAGCCTTCAGCCAACGCACGTGACTGTCATCACTAAGTCCCGCTGACTGGGCCCGAGCGCGAGGCCCGCGGCACCGGGAAAGCAATGGCGAGTAACCCTCATTCAAGACCAGAAACACACAATCATCAACGCGAAGGCACAAACTGGAACGCCACAAGGAGGCCTCCGGGACCTCCTGGTGTTTTGGGGAACCCTGGGCGATGACCGTGCCTCAGCGGGTGGACGCGGGAGAAGGCAATTGCGCAGGGGGAAGCGCAGGAGCCCTCGGAGCACTGGCAGTCACCTCAGTGCGCACAGCGGAGGGACGCGAGGCTCAGACTCGCAAAGTGACTTGCTCATGGACACACAGCAAATCGGTGGAACCGTGGACAGGTGGAGGGCCACCTGAGCCCTGCCGTGCCACCTCTGGGTCGCAGCCAGACCCACCAGCGCCGGAGGCCAGGGGCCCGCGAGGGGTGAGGTTGGAGGTGGAGCGAGCTGGACCCCGGGGGTGGGGAAAGGGGCAGGGGGCGGCCCCATGACGTCATTTCCGGGGGTGGCGGGTATATAAGCGGCGCACACAACTCAGCTACTGCTACTGCAGTGCTCCAGCCGGTGCCGGAGGCTGGCGGACAGACCGACGGACGCTCGCCGAGCGCCCCGCCCGCCGCCCGGCCCTGCCCACGCCGCCGCCATGCGCTGCGCCGCCGTCCTGGCGCTCCTGCTCTGCGCCGGGCAAGGTGAGCCCCGGCTCGGCCGAGGGGCCCCGGCGGCCCGCCTGCCCCGGTCCCCGCGCTGCTCCGCGCGTCCCCTCAGCGCGCCAGGTTTCAGCACCGCGGACAGCGCCTCCGCCTCCCGCCCGCCGCCTCCGCCTGGCCCCGCAGCGTGGCCTCCGCCCAGGCCCGAGGGACACCTGGGCTTGACTCCCAGCCCCACAGGACGGCCCCCGGCCGCCGCTCCCGCTCTGGGGCCCCGCGGGCTGCGCGCCTGGCCGGCCAAGGTCATTGGGGGGAGGGGGCGGGACGGCGCTCCTCAGCTCCCCCTCTCTCTGCGTCGGCTGGCCGGACTCCTGCCTCTCACAGCCCCCTCCCCAGCTCTTCCCCTCCGTCTGGGTCCCACCCGGGTCCCCCGGCTCTGCTGCTGGTGTTGCCATAGCACTTGCCTCCATGCGCCCTCTCCAGAGCAGCTTCCCCCGGGGAGAGTCAGGGCCCCTCAGGGCAGCCTCTGGGGCCACCTCCTGGGCAGCCCGGCCTCTCATTTGGGTGGGGACAGTTTTGACAGGGAGTGCTGGGTGAGTGGCCCCCTCTGAACTCAGTCAGGAAGGACTGTGCTCCCCTGGGCACGGGGGAGTGACCCCAGTGCTCTCTCTTTCTTTCCAGTCACTGCCCTCCCTGTCAACAGCCCTATGAATAAAGGGGACACTGAGGTAAGGAGGGGTGTTGGGGATGCCCTGGGATGGGGGAGGAGGTTTGGTGGACACCTCGGGCCAGCTCTTGGGCAGCTGCAGGAGTGAGTTTGGCATACAGCCAAGAGCCAGCACTGCGGCTGCTGACCTGAGGACAGCTTGTAAAAGAAGATATCAGAGACCGCTCACTCTCCCTGCTGTCCCGCTGCGGAGACTTCCCCAGCGTTCTATGAGATTGGCCATGTGGCCAGAAGGGGCCTGGGTCTGTCTGATGGGGCCTAGGTGCCCAGTTGTTGTCCTGACACCTGCATCCACAGGCCTACCGTGGGCTGCTGGTGGCCTGGCTTGGTTGGGTTGTCCACAGACCTGCAAGGACAGCTGTCACCTGCCTGGCTCTGGCCTCCCCCTTTGCTCTCCCTCTCTCCCTTGCCCACCCAGCTCACTAGCACCCCTCCGCTTCATAGGTACCTGGTGCCCCCAAGGACCACAGGGTAAATATTTGGCGATGGTGCCAACTGGTCCCTGCCAGCTGGGGCTGATGGTGGAGGCCACCCAGGGAAGGACTTGGGCGGTCACCAGTGGGGGTTCCTGTGGCAGGAGGAAACACTCTGCACCAGAAGCATGCTTGGAGTTCATTCCCACCCGAGCCAGGGCTGGATTTCCAGTCTCCAGTGCTCATATCTCCACTTGAGCATCAGAGAGATGTCTACTGTTCACTTTGCAGGGCCCGTTCTCTTCAGAGGCTACAGATAAAACCAAAAACATCAAAAACATTTCAACTTCAAGGTGCTCAATTATGTTTCCTTTTTTTCCAGTTGCACAGGGGCCAGAATTTAAACCTCGGCTACTCATTTAGCTGTGCAACCTTGGAAACATTCCTTAGCTTCTGAGCGTCCCCTTTCTCCCCTTTCCCTTGAGGTGAGGCGTGTAGTACCCAGCACAGGGTTGGTCCTCAGAAAATGGCCACTGTTTCCCTACAGCTTCCCTTTTAGACCCCCCGGTCCTCTGGGACCCCTGCCCAGTTCCCTCACAGACTGGTGGCTCTCTGATATTCCCAGTACAAGGTCAGGGTCCAGACTGCTGGGCGCTGCTGGCTAGATCCCGTTTGGGGGTCCGCTCTGGTCACCGTGTCGTTCCAGCAGCCCAGGTTCATGAGCACAAGAGCAGTGGATTGAGACCTGAGTGTTCCCTGGGAGGTGGTGACTGCACCCGCTGCACAACGCTTGCCAGGATGCCATCCTGCACCACCCTTGGGCTGGTTGCCTTGGCATCCCATAGACAAGCCTTCCACCCCCTCGCTCCCCACCAGCGTTGCCTCAGGCAGTCTGACACCTGCTTCTCCACCAGCTCTAGGCTGCTGAAGCAGGTCTGAAGCTGTGAATTCCACCCTGGTGTGTGAGGCACTTCCCATTTTATAGACTGTTTCCCATCTGTGCCTCATTACCCTAGAAGGGTCCTGGGGAAGGCATTCTCATTCCTACTTTCCAGATGAGGCAACTGAGTCTCTTAAGCATACTTGCCTAAGATCACACAGCTGGGATACCACACTACAGTTGGCACCATCGTCAAAGATCGTCCAGTTATCAGATGCTTAGATTGTCCCAGCATCTTGCTGAACACTGCTTTCAGGTATAGGCTGCTATTGGCCTTGGATGGGTACCCAGATGTAGCTGATCTGTGCCCCACATCCAGCTGTACCCCTTGGGTAGATGTGAAGCCAGACTATGAGACTGATAGTGCCTCCATGTGACAGCTCTGAGGGCGTTGAGAGTCACACCTGGCAGAACCAGGGTAGGTCTTTGTTCTCCTCTGGGCAGTCTGGGAGGACTTCCTGGAGAAGCCGGCCCTTCGGCATCTGCAGGAGCGCAGCACTTTTTAAAGGTATTCTTCCAGTTCCCAGAAGCAGTTCCTCATCCTAGGGAAGCAACCTTGGAATCAGCAGATGCCAGCCCCCATGATCTACCCTAGAGGGGCACGTGCTGGCCTGGCCATGCAGCTGGAGGGCCTGGCCCAGGGCAGGCACCACAGGAGGGTTAGCATGGCTATTACTGTTGGCCCAGGGCAGAGTCGTGCCCTGAGCCAGGCCTCCGTGGACTCTTGAGCACAAAAGCAGCTGCTCTTCTGTGCTCGCTGGGGGGGGGGGGGCGCCGAGCCCCTTGTGAGCTGGCCCCAGCCCACCTCTGCTCCCCTTCCAGGTCATGAAGTGCATCGTCGAGGTCATCTCCGACACCCTGTCCAAGCCCAGCCCCATGCCCGTCAGCCAGGAGTGTTTGGAGACTCTCAGAGGAGGTAGGGGCTGGCCTGGAGAGAGTGGCCACCTCCTGGGCTGGGAGGCATGAGTGGCTGGGGTGCAACGTGTCACCCAGTGAGGACCTGCCTTGGCCAGTACTGCGCTGGGGCGTGAGGGGTGGGCGAGGAAGGGGTCACAGCCTTACGCTCCTAGAGCCTGTGGGCTAGCAGAGGGGACAGATTGGTCACTCGACTCCTGGGCAGATGAAACCAGGACAGGAACAGCAGGTCCGGACTGTGAGCTCCCTGTGGGGGGAGGTTCTGGGTGCTTTCCCAGGGTCAGAATAGCGTCTGGCCCCTGGCGGTCAGCGTGCGGGTCTGTGGTGGCTGAAGGGTGCCGCGGGGCCCGAGGAGGACAGAATCTTTCCCACTATCAAGCCTTGGCCAGCTGCTGGGTGGCACTGTGAGCATCTGGGGAGGGGGCTTTAGAAGACCCGCTGGCCATCCAGAGGGGGGCAGTGGAGGACAGGCACTGGGGTGCAGAGGAGAGGACGGGATGGGCAGAGGCTGCAGCAGGAGGGGTTAGAGAGACACTGGCATCCCCAGGGCCCGCCTCCCTGGGCTGAGGTCCGTGGGGGCCCTGCCTGACCTTTCTAAGGTGCTAGAAAAGTGATGGACGGCTTGGAGTGGGGACAGTCTCCCAAGTGTCATCTCGGGATGCGATCTGACTGGCCACCTGTCGGGGTTTCCAGAATAACTCCTTAGCACTCAGCTGAACGCTGATCTCCTCCTGACTGTTCTCTGGAAGCCACCCGTGACTGTGTCCTTTCCTGCAGATGAGCGGATCCTGTCCATCCTGCGGCACCAGAATTTACTGAAGGAGCTCCAAGACCTTGCTCTCCAAGGTGTGCTCCAGTCACCTTACACATAATTCTGGGTAAATCCCATCAATTGAGAATCCGAAAATTGGGGAGGAAGGTTGGCAAAGGCCCTCTGGGGCACTCAGTTACTTGTTTTCAATCATAGGGCAGCAAGGTAGGATCCCCTCTGCCACCTGGTTGAATTTGTTACTGATAGCATTAAAGAGATCAAGGTTCAGAGAGGTTGAGTGGCCTGTCCAGGGCCACACAGTACACAGGAACAGCTCTCCGAATGCCGCCTGGCCTCTGGAGTTCAGCCATCTCAGGAGGTTGCTTTCAAGACTAGAATGCAGAGAGCTTTCCTTTTCCTTTCCTCTGAAAACTGAGAAGCCAGCTCTTCTCAAGGAGAGAGGAAGAAGGGCTCTTCCCCCCGCCCCTCCCCGTGAGCTTCTCTGCAGGGGCAGTGGTGGGGCCAGGCAGGGTCTTGTCTGCCCCAGGACATCAGCCAGACTTCAGCTGCCTGTGAGTGGGCGGGCCAATGCCTCGCCCTGGAGCAAGCCCCATCTCTCAGAGTGTGAAGGCTTCCCAAGACATTAAGAGTCCACAGCTCCTGGGAATGGGTGGCTGAGAGGTGGCGAGTGCCTTGTCCCTGAGGGCGACCTGGCAGAGTGCTGGGCTGGAGGATTATGCTCCCGCCACCCCCAGAGGTGGCCCCTTCAGTCTTGATGGAAGGCGGCACTGACCCAGCACACGGGACCAGGCTCTGGCCGGGCTGCTCCTGGCTGACTCCTGAGAGAAGGGCCCCTTGTCTAGAGCAGGGCCATCGGCATCCTGGGCACCAACCCGCGGGCTGCTGTCTGTGAGCTGGGCCTCCCCTCCCTCCCTGCCCTCCCCCACTCCCCCGCTCCCCCCAGGCCTGGGCTTGGGTCTGGTGGCACTGGTGGGGGCAGAAAGGCTGCTCCAGCTCGGGAAGGTGCCCCTCTGAGGCTGCTGGAGCAGACGGGCCGTGTGAGAATGGAGAGGGCAGATCTGGGGAGGAAGCAAGAACCCCGCCCCCCAGCTCACCTGCGCCCTTCTCTGGCTGTCCCCCTGGGCGGCAGGCGCCAGAGATGAGGGTGCGGGGAGGAGGCACGTTCTGGCCCCAATGACCTGGGCTGTGTCATGGGTTCCTGGCTCAGGTTTCCGACTAAAAATTAAATATTTTAACAACGATAAACTTGAGATTAAACACTGACTAGCTAAAGTTATGTCATGAAATATAATGTCACCAGAGGCTCTTAGAGGGCAGGGGGTCCTGCATACCCGCACCCAGGCACGGGGCCCATGCGGTGGCTGCACGATCCTGGTGCAACCTCTGCCCACTCCCCCACGCCCTCTAGGCCCCTGTGCTGTCCTGCGGCCCTGCCTGTCTTGGCACCTGCCGGGCGGTGCCCCATGTATAGGTGACCCAGTGAGGAAGTGGCCCCAGAGCCCTGGGACTCACACCTTTCTGGGCCCAGGACTGCTCCCTGGCTCACAGCTGTCCCAGATGTCCCCATAAGGGCAAAAGCCATCTCCAGCTGCAGAGCTGACCCCACAGAGGGGCCAGTGCCCAGAGTGAGGTGCGGATGTGGGGACAGTCAGGGCGCCTGCGGCAACTGGGGCAGTGCGGGGACGGGCAGGACGGGTGTGGACCCCAGCGGCCGACCCTGGGCTCAGGGCAAGCAGGGCTGGCTTCTCACGGGGCCTGGGCTGAGAGCACCCGGAGGAGAGGAGCGGTCACTGTTGTTCCTGCTCCAGGTCCCTGAGCTACAGATCCTGAGGGTCCCTCACTCCCGCCCTGCAGCCCTCTGTCCCTCAGGGCCTTGGTGGTCCCAGACAGGGCTCGCTGTCCTTTCCCAGAGCAGCATCTGAGTCTGTGGAGGTGGTGTGGCCGCCCGATGGCCCCAGACGAGGGCGGGGGGACCAACCTGCCACCCCTGGCTGAGACCCCTCGAGGTCTCACTGGGCAGGCCTGGAACATGACCCGCCCACTCCACACGGGGAAGTGGTACCTTCGGCCTCCTGGACCCACAGAGTGGACCCAACGGGCCTCCCCGTGCTCCTCCCCAGGGGCCAAGGAGAGGGCGCAGCAGCACAAGAAGCACCGCAGCTTCGAGGAGGAGCTCTCGGAGGTCCTCGGGAGCCAGAGCGGCGAGGCCAAGCCCCAAGGTCAGTGCCAGCCGGCTGGCCCGAGGAGGAGGGGCGGGAGGGGCGGGGCCTCCCGAGGGGGAGGGGCGGGCGGGGCGGGGCCTCCCGGGGGCGGGGCCTTCCCAGAGCCGGAGCCCCTCCTGCAGGCCCCCGGCGGCAGCTCCTGTTCCCCTCCCCAAGGTGGGCTGCACACGGTGGTCCCACGGCACAGCCACGGGTCCTGGCCGCGGTGTCCCACTGTCCATCCAGGTGCTGGGGCCCTGGGGGGGAGTTCTGTGGCCTGGCAGGTGGGTCCCCCCAGTAGCCCCTGCGCAGAGCTGGCCACCCCTGGCCTCCCGGGATTTGGTGGCTCCTTAGAGTAGCCAATCTCAGGAGGGTGCGAGGAGAGGCCGGGACGCGGGAAACCGGGTCCTCATTCTGGAAGCCAGAGCACTGGGTGGGTTGAGGCTGCCGTGGCTCGGCCGGTGCCAGGCGGTCGCTGTCCTCCCACCTGGGGAGCCACAGGCCACCTGCAGGGCGCAGCTCTTTCATGGCCGTGGATGAGGCCGGTTCTAGGAGCGGGGGTCCCAGTGGCCCTGATCTGGGGCTGGGAGGGAGCCGGCAGGTCAGCCCAGCTGCCCAGAGCCTGGCCCACACTGTCCACCTGGCGCCGCTGGGTGCGGCTTGGACCCCCATCTTGGCTTCACGGGAACGAGTCTGGGTCGCCACGCAGGCCTGCCCTGGCCTCGGAGGGACATAGCGTGGCATCCGTGTGGGCACACGCACCCAGAGCTCAACGCAAGGGACCCTGAGCTGGCGTGTGGGGGCTGGGAGCGGGCTTAACTTGTGGCCTGCAGCCTGTGTGAGCAGTGGTCAGGCCGCCTCCCCGTCTGCCGCTCAGTGTGTCCTGTGGGGTGAGCACGTGTCCAGCCCTGGGGACCTGCCGGAGCTCAAATGGTGGAACCCGCCTGGGGCCACCTTGCTCAGTGGCGCTCATTCTAGCAATGACGGGGGCTTTTTGTCCCTGAGAAAATCCCGAGGAACTGAGCACTTTCACAGGGTGCGGGAGACAGAGGAGCCCCATATGGAGGGGAAAATGGAGATGCAGTCATGGCGCCTCTTACACAGAGAGGTTAAGTGGTTTGCCCAAGATCACACAGCAGTTCAGCCAGTGTCCTAATTTTCATTTCAGGGTCTGTTGCTTTTTGTTTTGGGTTTTATTTTTAGTTTTTCTAAGTTACATCCTGTTTTAAGAGACAGAAATAAAAACCACAATCCAGGTACTCAGATCAAGTCCAGAAAGGAGGAGAACCCTAACTCTAGTCTCAGGCCAAGCTTCCTGGAAGCCAAGACACAGGATGACCACGACCGCAGGTGGCCTCCGGGAGGCCCCAGTACAGCTGTCCTCAGGGCTTAACTTGGCCCTGTTGTTTTTGCAGAGGTGACAGAAGAACCACCCTCGAAAGGTGCTGCAGAGAGAAGAGATGCCCAAGAGGCAGAGCCGAGCCCCGAGGCCCCAGACACAGCCAGGCCCTGGGCCTTCCCTGAGCCTGGGCAGGGGGACAGCCAGGCCCCGGGGGAGGAGGCCCCTAACACCCAGCCACCAGCCAGCCTCGCAGGCCACAGGCGCTCGGGCCCGCAGGCTGTGGCGGACGGTGAGGGCCCCTCCCAGGGCCTGAGCACAGAACAAGGGTCGCAGACAGAGGGGGAAGAGGAGGAGGAGGAGGCGGCAGAGAAGGGTTCCCCGGAGGAGGAAGGCCCCACTGCAGCATCTGAACCCCAACAGAGCCTCGGCTCCAAGGAGACACAGAAAGGCCAGAGTATGTATGACGGGGACCTGAACCAGCATGTCTGGGGGGGTGGGGTGGGAGGGAACCTCATCCTTAATCTTGTTCCATCTTCATCACAATCCCGAAAGGTAGGTATTAGGTCCATTTTCCAGACGGGGAAGTGGAGCTCAGAGTGATTAAGTAATTTTCCCAAAGTCACACAGCTAATTTGTAGTAAAAGTTGAAATTCCAACCCCAGTTTGTCTGACTTCCACACTATTCCTCTCCCCTGTTCCACACAGCACGCCCCTGGCCCAGGAGGCAAGAGGGGCATTGCAGGGTGGGTGGCCAGGCTCTGGGAACAGAGAGACAGAATGACAGGTGGGAGCAGGCTGATCTGGGGACAGCGTTGTCTTCCGTGATGCGTCAGCTGACTCCCTGGCAGCCTCCGGGGGTGGCCCGCTGGGCCAGAGGCTTCTGGGCTAGGGGAGGAGCTGGCTCTGGCCCCCCACCCCGGAGCTCTGAGGGGTCTTGACGGGCAGGGCATCGGGGTGGCCCTGCCCTCCACGTGGACACTGTGCAAAGGCACGACCCTGAGAGCCAAGCCCGTGGCCTGACCGTGGCCCGCAGAGGCTGCTGGGCGGTGGGACGGGGAGCTGCTGGCCCTCACCTCCTGCTCTGTCACCTGCTCCAGGTCGGTCTGCGGCTCTGGTGGTGGATGGAGGCCCAAAGCTGGGGGCTGAGGAGGCCCGGCCCCCCGAGGGCAGGGGAGAGCGGCCCAGGCAGGAGGAGCAGGACGAGGAGGACGCGGCAGGGGCCCTCCGAGGCCAGGCCGGGAAGAGCGGGGAGCAGGAGCCGCGGCCCTCCAGGGAGTGGGAGGAGGCCCCGCGGTGGAGCAAGATGGACCAGCTGGCCCAGGAGCTGACGGCAGGGAAGCGGCTGGACGGGGAGGATGAGGAGGACGACCCCGGCCCTGACCTGGACCCCGACCGCTCCATGAAGCTCTCCTTCCGGGCCCGGGCCTTTGGCCCCAGGGGGCCTGGCCTGCAGCTGCGCCGAGGCTGGAGGCCATCCTCCCCGGAGGACAGTGTGGAGGCGGGCTTGCCCCTGCAGGCCCGAGGCTACCCCGAGGAGAAGAAGGAGGAGGAGGGCAGCGCCAACCGCAGGGCAGAGGTCAGAGCAGAGGTGGCTACGGGAGGGAGTGGCCCTGGCCAGGCCTGGGGACAGCTGCACTCGGACATCACTGCCCCCAGCAGGGGACCCAGACCCCTGGAATCTAGACCTAGAGGGGTGGGCAGCCAGGGACTCTCAGGGCTGGGGGTGCCTGGGCTCCCAGCGGGCACCTGGGGAATGGCCCGCAGCTGGCAGGAGGCCTTCAGCCCGGCCTGGGAGCTGCTGGGCGCCCTGGGGAGTCTGAGCAGGTCAGAGAGTGACAGGTGCAGCTTTGGATAGAGAGCTTGGGGACCAGGGGCAGGACTGGCCTAGGGGTCCAGGCCCCGGCCATGTCTTGGCTCCCAGGAGGCCCGGGCGCACCCTCTTCCCATGATGGCGGAGGGGCAGGGTAGAGCCCGCTGGCCCTCGGGGCCTGTGTGAACGGGAGGGAGACCTGGCCTCTGCCCACAGGCCTGAGCCAGCCTCTCCCTGGCTCTCGGCCCTGGGCAGGTGGTGGCCCTCCCCTGAGCCTCACGTCCCCACCCCCTTTCTGCCCACCTCAGCCTCACGACTAGAGGCGTCCATGCTTGGAATTGGGCCTCCCCGGGCCACTGGGATGCTGAGCAGGTGGTCAGTGCACAGCCGCCCAGGAGCTGGGCTCCCTGTCAGGAGACCCTGGTGGTACTTGATTCAAGCCTCAGTGCTCTGGGGGCCACCAGGGACCAGAGCCCTCTCCCCAAGTTTGTTCTCAGCCCACCCAGAAAAGTAGGGGCCTTTCTTTTGGTCCTGACCTCTCTGGGCCTGGGTCTGGTCTTGGTAGTCTGAGAGGAAGACCCCTGGGAGCTGGGGCTGGAGGGGCAGGTACCGTGTCCCCAGGACTGGGCGGAGGGCCCAGGAGCAGCCCCACCTCCAGGACAAAGGAGCAGCCCCAGAAACGGCAGAATAATGAAGTGCCAGAGACTCTGCCAGCTTCCGGTCTCCACAGGCAGAGGGGGCCAGGGGGCAGGGTGGGACAGTGGGGACCCCTGAGTCTTGTGGTCAAGGTGGGGTGGGGACCTCCTCCCCATCCAGGGGTCTTAGAAACCTCCGCATGGGCTGCCTGTGAAGCCAGTGGCTCAGGCTGGGGTGTGGACTGAGGCAGGAGGATCACAAGTTTGACACCAGCCTGAGCAGATCAGTGACAGCCAGTTTCAAAATACAATAAAAAAAAGGTTGGGTGGCTGGGCATGGCCAGGGGTAAGCACTTCCCAACACAGAATGGCCCTGGGCTCCACCCCAGCTCTGCAGAAAATAACACCCCAAAAGAACAAAATCACCCCCCAGGGCCCCTCAAGGTCAGGGGGGCTCTAGGTCCCCATTTCCAAGGCAACAGTTGTCAGCATCCCATGAACTGGGCCCAGGTGGGCCGTGGTGTGGCCTTGGAAGTCCACCCCCAGGGCAGGGGCAGAAAGGTGGCTTCCTAGCAGGCTCTGAGTGGGGGTGTGCTCTTGGTGTGTCCTGCTCCGAGAGGACTGGCACTTCTGGGAGATGGGCCCAGAGCAGGGCTCAGAGGAGAGTCCCTTGCTCCCCTGAACCACCCTGGCAGCCAGAGCTCAGGGTCCCCCTGAGGTCAGGAACAGGCCCAGCCTTAGCAGGTGGACATGGGCATCTGTCAGTGTCCAGCCCGTGCTGCAGTCCCCACGGCCCCCTCAGGTATGGAGGCTGCGAAAGACAGTCCCACGCCCAGCCTGGCTACCCTGAGAGCTGTCGCCCATGGTCTGGGCCAAGGGAGGGTCCCTTAAGGGACCTTTCATGATCCAGGTACCCTGAAAGAACAGACTCCGCCTGCCTGGACCATCCAAAGGGAGCAGGGCTGCACCCAGGCAGGGTGCACCAGGGCCTCTGCTTCCCGCCTGCCCGCTGGCCCTCAGGCAAGCCCCCAGCGTGGTGCCACGTCCCCACGGTGCAGATGAGACTCCCCGGCAGAGCCACCTGTCCAAGGCTATGCAGCCAACCAGCAGCCACCAGCCCTGCTGACTGTCCCGTTGATCCCACAGCACAGGCCAGCTCCCAATGACCCTGACCTTCTCTCCTAGGACCAGGAGCTGGAGAGCCTCTCGGCCATCGAGGCAGAGCTGGAGAGGGTGGCACACCAGCTGCAGGCACTGCGGCGGGGCTGAGGCGCTGGCCAGCCAGGGCCCCTGGCACCCGTGGGCCTGGCTCTCTTGTCCCCTCTACAGGTCCTGCCCAGACGGCCAGGGCGCTGCTTCCGGTAGGGAGGTGGCCTCTGGCAGCCCGGGCCACCCTGCCCTGCCATGCTCCTTCCCCTCCCTCCTGTCCCGCCCTGGCCTCCTGTGGAGTGGCCACGCTCTCCACCCTGCTCTCTGAACACAGGCAGCTTTCTAGAAGCCCCTCCATGTTCACAGCCCCGGGCACAGCGGCAATAACTTCTGAGCTTTCGGTGAAAGCTGAAAACTCCTGACTAGAATACGTTCTGTATAGAGTTCATCTAAGGAAAAATAAAACCTGCTCTGGGCTCTTTCCTTTTTCTTTGAATTTTTTCCCCCCTCAACTCCCAATGGACACACAGGATTTGAGCAAAGGGACAGGGGAGTTTCAGTCCGTCTGGGCTTTTCTGGGCCACTTCTTAGCTGTGGGATCTTACACAGGTGGCTTTGTACTCCTGGTCCTCAGTCTCCCCATCTGTAAAATGGGGAAGCTGATCCGCCTCGAAGCGGTTTTGTGTGGATGAAGTGACACCTGTCACTCTGTCTTAACCGCACCTGAGCTGGGCCGTGTGGAGGTGAGGCCAGGCTGGGACACAGACTGAGTTAGTCCTTGATCACCTGTGGGGCTGGGTAGAGACCCTGACGGCCCCAGTTAATGCCTGCCCCAAGCCACAGGCAGCGGGCTGGCTTTGGACATCCCGTCGAGAGCTTCTGAGCTGCAGGCTGCTCTTGGCCGAATCCAACTCTGCCTGCCCTGATTGCTGGCCTGTCGTGTGCCTAGGACCGGGGCTGTCGGAAGCCCTCGTGCATGTTAACAGTTCACGAGAGCACTGCGGGTCTTGTTCTGCTTCAAGAATGAGAAACCGAGGCAGAGAAGGTGAAATGCTCGGAGTCACAGGCAGGAGGGACGCCCCCGGCACTGAGCCTGGCTGTGCAGGATGATGCCATCAGGCCAGGCGGCACTGCGACTGGGCCCAGCTGGCGGGGCAGGGCCCGTCATTCAGTTGTCCGTCAAACATTCACGCAGGGCTGCCTTGGGCCTCATGGGCCTGGCATGAGGAGGGGACTGGCATAAACCCTGGCTTTGAGAAGCCCACTGCCCAGTGGGGAAAGCTGGACCGTCCACAGCCAATGCCACCCACTGGGACAAACGTATGGTCAGCAGGAGGGAGCACAAGCCCATGTCCCTCTGCTGAGGCCAAGCCTGCAGGAGGCAGAGGAGGCGGGTTCAAGCACGGTTCTATTGGACTGGCATTGGTCTTGGACAGGCCTGTCACCTCTCCAGGTGGCAGTTCTGGGGCTAAGATCCCTGGTCTGTGCACCTAGGGTGAGACTCAGGCCAGTGAGGCTGATGCGCAGGAAGGACGGTGAGACCCTGCGGGATGGCGACCTTGGCAGGGGCCTGCCTGGTGCTCCCCTGCCAGGGCCAGCACGGCTGCCCACCCAAGTGAGGCTCACAGGCATCGGTGACACCTGCGGGGACCTAGAGCCACGTTCAGAGGGCCAGCTGGGATTTTTTTTCTTGGTACTGGAATTGAACCCAGAGCTGCTTCCTAGTCTTTTATTCTGAGACAGGGTCTAAATTGCTAAATTGCTGAGGCTGGCCTTGAACTTGGGATCCTCCTGCCTCAGTCTCCCGAGCCCCTGGGATGACAAGCGTGCAGCACTGTGCCCAGTACTAGGTGGGATTCCGTAGTTCTCTGTCGGGTCAGTCTGCACAGCATATTGGTGGCGAGAACTTGGGTTTGGGCCTTAGGCTCCAGGCATCTCCCGTCCAACCAGTAACTAGCCGAAGAGCTCAGCAGCTTCCTGGGTCTCAGAGCCTCCATCTCAGCATCTATAAATGGGGGTGATCCTTGCTATCTCCTTACCAGACGATGCTAAGGCCTGGAGAGGGACATGGTGAGCCAGAAAACCAGGACTACAGTGGCAGAGCTGTCTGGGGGCTCAGGAAGCCAGGCTGCCCGCTGCTGCCAATGCCCATCCCTGGGGCACAAAGGCACCCCTCTGCATGGCTGCGGCTCTGTGGTGTGTATCTCCTCCCATGTTGCAGCTTCCCCGCGGCAACGGCTACAGAATAGCAAACAGCACCAGCTGCATTTCTAGGCCATCAGCAATCAAGACACCCACTACCAAGATGAGCTGGTAAGGAGATAGCACAGGGTCTCCTTGTCCCCAGAATAACCCATCCCAAAGACAAGCCAGCTGAAAAGAGCCAGGAGGGAAGCATGATGTTCTCAGAGTGACGCGCGGGCTGTGGTCTGGACGTACAGACTAAGTGCAGCCCAGGGTGGATTCTGGTAGAGCTGCTTCCGAACAGGGTTGCTCACCCAGCACAGTGCGGGCACTACCATGACACCCAGCCTGAGTAGCTTGTCCCGAGTGACACCCTGCAGGAGGCAGCCCCCTCAAGACGCCAGGTTTCAGATGACTTGGGCAGTAAAGAGAAAATGTAACCATTTCTGGAAAGGCCCAGCTGGACACAACCAGAAGGAAGAGGACCCAAGCAGCAGAGGCCCTGCTGCCCAGGGAACCAGCGGCCACGTCCACGCTGGCCATGCCGTGTGGAGAGAAGCAGAGGCACAGACCCCGACTGTGAGGGGGGACCTGAGGCACGAGCCTTGGTCGCCTCACACTGGCTGGGCGGGAGTGTGTGCAGTGGGCGTGGCCAGGGTGGCCACGGAGGTGGAGACCCAGGGCTGCCCTCCAGGGGGGCTCCTGTCTGCCCCAGGGAAGCCCATGTGGAGCTGCCGGCACCCAGCTCCGGGGCTTGGGGTCCCAGGGCCAGCGCACTGCGGCACAGACAAGGACAGGAGCTGCTGGGGTCCCACTGGGTCCGTGATCCGTTTCCAAGGGACAGACCAGGGCCATCAGTGAGGCGGGGTGAGGCCATGCGATGGCTCTCTGTGGCCAGCAGCCAGCAAGAATGCCCAAGAGCCAACGATGTCTTCCAGGCTGGAGGCTCAGGTCCCTTGGTCTCAGAGTGACCGTCTAGCCAGCACCAGTCACTCTGCAGTCGGCCAGAAGGGCTGTCAGCCTGCTGTGAAGCCCACTTGGTGGCCTCTGAGGACCCTTTGTTGCTAGGGTTACAGGCATGGGCAGGCTCGTGCCAGATGCCCAGAGCCCCCTGAGGCTTCAGGGGCATCTGAGTGCCACAAATGGCGCTGGGAACCCCAAGTCAGCCCCACCCACCACACACTGCAGAGCCACACTTGCAGGACACCAGGGACGACGACCCTAGTCTAAGACAGACACCAGAGCTGGCATTTGGGCGTGACGTGTATGCAGTCACTCTGTCCTGGGAAGTGTCCTCAGGCAGAGATGGAGGCCATGCCTCTGGGCCCAGGACAGAGCAGGCGACTCCAAGGCTCAGCTCTGTGTGGTCTGCCACCTGCTCTGCTGCCCCTCAGCAGCTCTGTCCCCTGAACACCAGCAAGATGGGAAGCCCCGAGGCTGACGTGCCAGCCAACTCGGAAACAGAAGCCTGGGTGTGAGCCCGGCCGCCCGAGGCTGCTGGCGGGGCTGGCCTCTGCCTAGCGGGGTCCTTCTGTGGGGCCAGCTCTTACCACCCACCTCCTCAGTGGGCCTGTCTCCCCGACACCCAGCCCCAAGGCCAAGGCCAGCAAGGCCTCAGGGGAACCAAGTGGGGACAGCACCCTGGGACCAACAAGGTCAGTGTGCACATGGGGCATTTAGAGGACAGGTCTCTCACCTGGCTACTGAGGCCCCCCAAGGGGTGGCTGGCGTCCCCTTACCATCCATAGTGCCCATCCATGCTCCAGGTTGCCAATGGCTTCCACCAGCCTGAGGTTGGTCCTGAACAGTCCCTAGGCCTTCGCAAGACCAACTCCATGGGGGGAACCAACTGTCCCACTCACCACTGCGTGGAGGCCAGAGGAGGGCCACAGCGCCAGAAGGTAGTTTCCCGACAGCCAGCCCTGGACGCTACCCACGTGACCTGGACTGACCAGAGGGACAGACATGCAGGTCGTCAGGGTCCTCCAGGCAGCGGGGGCTGGGACTCTGCCTCAGGAGGCCACACTGTGGGAGGTGACAGAACAGGAGCCACACCCAGAGACATGTGGGAAATGCAGGTTGATCTCAGTAGTTTATTTTGAAGACAAAGCAGTGCAAGAGGCTGCCACGCGTCCCCTGTCCCGGGCTCGGGGTCTGGCCCAGGACAGGTGACGAGCAGACATCCACCAGGGTCAACGCTCAGGTCCTGTAAACGTGGCCAGTCCTGGGCCATTCTGAGGAGGCCAGGCAGCTCCGTGGCTCCGGCCCTGGCAGCTGCCCAAAGGAGGGTCCCTGCCCCGAGTGCCGGGCTCAGCGGCTCTCCAGGGCCCTCGGCGCTCCCTCCAGTGTCCTCCGTCCCACTGGACCATGCGGGACAGCTCAGTGGCCCTTCTCTTCCCAAGTGAACTGCACTTCATGACACGAGATCATGCTGGGCCCAGGCCCCTCACTGGGCTGCACCCTCGGTGGCCCCTCCTGTGGACTGGGTCAGCCAGTGGTGGCCTGCTGCTGTGGCGAGCGGGTCTGGGGTGGTGTGGCTGTCTTGCAGGCTGGCTTAGTGCCCACTGTGTGCAGGAGTGAACCGCAGGGCAGCCTCCTCCTGCCCAGGAAGAGGGACCCTGCCGGCCAGGATTCCCAGCAAAGGCTCCTGCCTGTCCTCTGGGGTGCTGGGGGAGCAGCAGGCTGCCCAGGGGGCAGGACAGCGAGCACCAGCTGCCCTGCCCTGCCCTGCCCTGGACCTGACTGCCCTCTGGAGAGAGGGGATCTAGGAGGAGACTGGGGGAGTGGTCCTGGGCAAGCCAGCAGCCCCTCTGGGTCCAGGGAACAGCAGTGCTAGGTGGGACCCTGGGAGGGACCTGGTGGTCCCCAGGGAGCAGTGAGGAGTGGCAGCGACCCAGGACACGGGCCTCAGCCCATGGAAACTTCCTCTTCTCCCGTGGGCAGGGGTCGGGGCCTCACACAGCTCCCCCCAAGGGCCTGTCGTCCTTTGGCTTTGGGGAGGGGCCAGCAGCAGCCCGGGGGGTCGGCTTGGAAGGGCCAAGGTGGACAGGGAGGGTCGGGTCAGGGGCGTGGGTGGACTTGGAAGAAGGGGAACCATTCTCGGCGCTCTGCTGGGCCACAGACCAGGAGCGGGCCTCCCTCCAGGATCCCAGAGCCTGGTCCACAGCAGCCGTGGGGACAGACAGACGGATGTGCACACGCTCCTAGCACCACCCACGCACGCACACACACCCACATTCAGACCTAGTGTTGAAACTCAGCGGTGTCAACTCTGACGAGATCCGCAGGCGGGAAGCGGGGTCCCCGTCCCCGAGGCTGTTCCCTTCCATCTCCCCCCTCATTTAGACCATGACATCAGAAAATCAGGTTAAAAATTGAAAAAAAGCATCAGATCATCGGGAATTCTGAGTAGCGTCCGTTGGGGGCCGATGCCCAGTGGCGTGCTCTGCCACCCTCTAGGTCCTGGCTCTGTGGCTACTGCGAGGAGGCCTTGGTGGTCAGGGAGGCCACGCAGTGCTGCTGGAAGCTGGGGGACACGCCCGCGGTGCAGCCCAGTCTCTGGTGTGGCAGCTTGGCAGCGCTGCCCGCGCCCGCCTCGGCCTCGGTCTTCCAGGGCGCGTCCTGGCCCAGCACGCAGCAGCCCGGGCTGGCGCTGCACGTCCGCTCGCCTGCCAGGCTGCCTGCCTGCTCGGCCAGGAGCCTGCTGTGTCTCAGCGGGGCCGCGTCCCCTGCGGCGGCTGCACCCATGCTCTGGCCCTGCAGGACGGTGGCGATGTGGTTCAGGAGGTCTGAGAAGAACTCGCTCACGCCCTCGTAGCCTGGGGTGGAGACAGACAGCGCAGGTCAGCCGGGGGGCTGAGGAGCGGGGACAGGCCGACCAGCGACCAGGTCACTCCCATGGGGCCAAGGGCTGGCCCTGACCCTGAGAAGTGGTGAGCCACTGTGAAGTGGTGAGCACCTGTCCAACCACTGCCATGGTGTGGATAAGGGTCCCCTGAAGGGACCTGAGGGGTGGCACCTAGTGGGAGGTCTCTGGTCATGGGGGACCTAGAAAGGGGTACAGGGACCTGGCACCCTCCCCCCCGCCAGACACTAGGAGAATGTGCTTCCTTTGCCTTGTGTCCTCCACCCCATGATATGCTGCTCTGCCACAGGCCCCAGAGCCACAGGGCCCCAGAGCAGACTGAAACCTCCCAACTGTGAGAGCAAACCACCTTTCCTCTTTATTTTATGACACTGGGACTGAACCCAGGGGCACTTCACCACCAAGCTACATTCCTAGCCTTTTGAATATTTTGAGACAGGGATGCCCACAGTAGAAACAAAAATGGCGCAGCTGGTCTGGAACTTGCGATGGTCCCGCCTCAGTCTCTCAAGTTGTGGGGTACAGGTATGAGCCACCATGCCCAGTAACCTTCCTTCTTTTTAGCTTTATTATCTCAGGTATTTTGTTACAGTAATGGCAAGATGGTAAACACATCCACCTGAGGGGGTGAGATGATGGCTGGAGGTGGCAGCACCAATGCCCACTTTGAATGATACACGGACTCCATGGGGTCTGCCTGAACTTGGCCTCAGTCCTGATTCCTGGCCCCTGCATCTGTCCTGAGCCTCAGCTGTCCACTGAGAGGATACATCTCGTGGTAGAGGCTTCTATGGGCATCAACCAGAGGGGCTAGAACACCAGTGATGTCTGACCCAGAGCAGCCACAGCCCAAATCCAAAGTGTTCCTTTTTCACCCTAAAACACAGGAGGAGGCCCTCTGTGCCCCCTGCACTCAGAGACAGCCTCTAGGCACTGCCCACCAGGCCACATGAACTGCCAGTGTCTGCCTGGGGCGGCACCTCCCAACGCAGACGTGAAGCAAAGTCCTCGGGAGCCTCACAGCAGGCCTCAGATTTGGATGGGGCCTGCCGGGGCGGGTCTGGAAGGACGAGAACTGGCCCGTGGCTCAGGAAGACGAGCAGGGCAGGAGAGGTCTTGGGCAGGAGTTGCAGCCCACCAGCTCGGGGGGCTCTGGGCACTGCCAACCCCACTGAAGCTGGACCACCCTGGATACTGCACCCCGTGCCGAGAGGTCACTGAACACCGGCACATGCCCTGGATGACATTCCCAGCCACTCGTACAGATGGGTGGCAAAGCCTGGGACACGGCCCTGTGTAGCCTCAGAACACTGCACGGCCGTGTGCGGGGCCACCAGCTGGGGCTCCTCTGTGTCCAATCATCACTTAGCAGCCGACTGCTGTGCTGCAGAGAGGCCCACGGCAGAAACAGAAAGGGCCATGCGGCTGGCGCACAGTGCCTCCGTGTCCAGCACTGGGTGACATCACCCTCACAGACCCGCCCACTTTACAGATGAAAATGTGGGACAGTTAACCAGAGAGGATGGTGAATCCACGCCAGTGTCCTCAGCCCACGCAGGCGGTGCCGGCCACAGGACTGGATCCCGTCCCCTGATTGCTGCCTCCTCACAGGCCCCCTTTACAGAGGAGGACGTGGAGGCTTAGAGGCCCAGCGTCACAAGCTCCTAAGTGGCACAGCCGAGATCGGATCAAGGCCACTGTCTTGTCGGTGTCTTAGAACAGCCTGGTGCTGGGAGCCCTGGACTGAGTGCCCCGTCAGCCCGCGGCCAGGGGTAAAGGGCAGGGAAGACCCGGGTCTGAGGCGCCCAGGATCGTGGGGGTGGCTGCTGGGAGCCAGGGCAGGTGTGGAGCAGGAAGGACACGGGAGACACTCCGGCAGGTCTCCAGGGAATCCGGAGGCAGTTCCTCAGCAACTGCTCTGCTTTCCTCCCAGACCAGGCCCAGCGCCCCATGCAGAGCTGGGGCTGGGGGACGTGCAGAGGCCACTGCCTCCTCGAGGCCTGGGAGGAACAGGAGGTGGGGTGGGCTGACACCTGGAGGCCTGGGGGGGGGCAGGACAGGAGCCAGCTCCACATGGCCCTGGGCACACTGCAGGGTGGGAGATGCTGTTCCCACCTGCGCAGGGATGGATGGGGTCAAGTGGCCAAGCCGACGTGGACTGTGAAGGTAGAGCCTGGACTTGAACTCAGCACTGGGCTCCGCCAAGAGGCAGCAAATCTCATGGTCAGAGTGCAGCCCTAGCTCCACCACATAGGGACCCGTGACCTCGGACAGGTCCCTCAGTGCCTGGTCTCGTCCTCTTGGCAAGTGGTGATCACAGCAGTCTTCCAGGGTGCAGTGGGGAGGGGGAGGCTGGCTGCTGCCTGTCTCCACACAGGCCTGGTTCACAGAGAGGTCAACACCACCGGGCAGTGGGTGGCCTCTTTGACAGGGCTGCTACTGCACCTGAGGCCCTGAGCTCGCCCACCCCTCTGCTGTCCCCGGGAGTGCTCTACAGGGCTGGCGAGCAGAGCCGTCTCCCTGGCACCGGCTCCCTGGAGCCCTGGTCTCTGGGGCCACCTCGGCAGCAGACTCCTCACCAGCCTCTGCTGGGTGCAGCTGTGACCCTCCTGCCCTAGGGGGATGGCCCTTCTCTCGACTCCTGGAAGAAGCCTCCCTGTCCACACTGGCTCAGTGACAGTTCCCTGACAGACTGCCCTGGGCCCACGACACAGTGGGCTCACAGGGAAGCCCCCCACTCTCCCTCCTAGAACTTCCACATGTGGCCCCCAAGTCCATGGTCCAGAGTCCCCCTGACCACCCTGCAGCCCTGCCTCGCCCCTTCATTCCTAACGTCCTTCTGCTGCACCCCAGGTCCCCAGCTCTCTCCCTCCACCCAGGGGGACTGAGGCAGACTGAATGACGTGGGCTTAACACGGACCTTAGACGCTGCCCCCAAAGTGAGACCACGCCGCAGCAGGCTGCCCTCAGAGACGGGGCCCACAGCCGGGGAGCACTGCTCCACCTCTGGTGGGTGGCTCTTTCCTTTCTGGCCAGGATTTGCTCTGGTGTCACAGCTTCACAGAGGAGCCACCAGCCACCCCCACCCTTCTGTCTCTTGCTCCCTCCCAATTATGGTGTGGGCCTCCGGCTGGGACCTGGCAGTCCAGCTCACTTCTGTACTGGCGTCTGGACCAACTGGGACCCACAGCACCTGGTCGGTGACAGCTGGAGGACAAAAGGAGCCAGTGGCCTCCCAAGCCTCCATTTCCCTAGCTGGGCACAGGGGTGCTGCCTGGAACAGCTTGTGCGTGCCCAGGAGTGGAAGAGGCACCGCCTCCTCACGGCCACCTAGCTGGTGCCCGGCACCCGCAGCCCCAGAGCTGGGAGGTGCAGGCCAAGGAGACGAGCCGAGGGCGGTGGTTCCCCCTCCCGCGAGGCGCTTGAAGAGACACTGTTGAGAACAGAGTGGACGGTGGGGCGCAGGGCCCAGGCCCGCAGGAGGCAGAGGCAGGCCAGCCTGAGCCCAGGAGCCCAGGTGCGGGTGAGCGAGTGGCCTACTGCGGGGACAGGTGGGACCAGGTCAGACTCCACCTGTCACTCTGTGGGAGGTGCACAGGTCACGTGGCTGGGGGCTGGGTGCAGCACGGTCCTGGAGCACCTGCCCTGCCACCAACGTGCTGTGTGGCCCTCTAGTCCGCTCTCACCAACGTGCTGTGTGACCCTCTAGTCCGCCCTGCCACCAACGTGCTGTGTGACCCTCTAGTCCGCCCTGCCACCAACGTGCTGTGTGACCCTCTAGTCCGCCCTGCCACCAACGTGCTGTGTGACACTCTAGTCCGCCCTGCCACCAACGTGCTGTGTGACCCTCTAGTCCATGGCTTTCCTTCACCTAACAGCTGGGGTTGTGGCCCTTCAAAGTCCCTTTGGCTGTGAGACTGGAATGGCTCAAGGGACAGACTGATTGGGGCATCGAGGCTATGCTGGTGGCTCAGGTCACAAGGTGAGAGGGCGCGTGGACCCGGCTGCCTGGGCCCAGTCCTCCCTGGTTCAGGATGCCCGGTACTGGGCTCCTTCATCCCCTCCCGCTCCAGAGCCCGTTCCCAGATGTGCAAAGGTGGCAGACTGCTGGCTGCCACCTCAGGCCACCAGCCCTGCTGCTCACCTGGGAAAGCGTTGATGTCGATGACCGCGTGCTGTCCCGTCTGGTTGTTGATGATGATGTCAATCCCAAACAGTGACACACCCAGCGCCTGCCGCAGGGCCCGGGACAGCTCCCGGATGACCTCGTCGCTCGGCCGCTCGAACACACCTTCGATCTTGTCCAGCTGCGACACACACAGGGGTCAGGCTGGGGTGAGGAGGTGCAACAGGCCCTGCCATCCCTCAGGCCAGACCCACCCCAGTCAGCACCAGGCCACCACCTCTGTGTCCTGCCCGAGCTGGGCAGGTGGGGTGCTGCTCACGGCCTTGCTGGCTGCCATCCGAGGGATGGGGTCAACACTGGCGTCTTACACACAGGCAACGGGCTCAGAGGGGGTCGGGCTGGCCCGTGAAAGCCCAGGGCAGGGTCTGGGCCTCGGTGTTCGCAGGCTCTAGACCCATTTCTCAGCAGGGAGGAAGGTGGTGGAGAGTCGCTGTGGACCGAGGAGACAGCGAGGTGCAGAGATCACTGGAGCCTGACCTCGAAGGCAGGGAGGACGGGGCAGGGGAGAGGTGGGGAGAGAGGCCTGGGGGGGGCGGGACGAGAAGCCGAGAAGCCACAGGGGCGCCGGGAATGCTGGCACGCGGCCAGGGCGGAGGCGGCGGGAAGTCCTCCTCGCCCTCCTTGCAGGCAAACTCATGGCCTGAGGCTGAGGTTGGGGACGGGTCTTGGTCCCTGAAGGGCTCCAGGTGGGTGATCTTGCATTTCCACCGCCCCCTTCCTTCCCGAGGGGAGGCTCAGGGATGCTCCCACCACATGCCTTGGGTCCAAGTGCAGCGGTCAGCAAAGCTTCTGGGGGGGAGTGGGGCTGTCCGGGTGCACAGTCTCCACCCTGCCCTGGACCACCCCGCACTGCCCATTCTCTGCTCTATTCCAAGCGGCCTGGGACCCACGTGCTTGAGCTCGGCCCAGTGGGAGCCTCCAGGGCATGAGAAAACTGCACCAGAGGCTTTGGGAGCCAGGACTTGGACCCAGGGTCTGGATGTGAATCCTGCAGTGACTTGCCGACTCTGGGGACTTGGAGAAAAGTTTGTGGCCTCTCTGCCTCAGTTTACTCTGCTGTAAAATGGGACTGATTGAGCCTCCGTCCTAGACTTGCTGAGAGGGAGGAGGAGGATGACAGGTGTGGAGGCCAGGGGCCTGGATGACCAGAAGGGCTGCTTCTGAATTCCAGGGCAGGGACAGCTTCGGGTGACCTCAGCCTGAACAGGGCTCAGCTAGGTGCCTATGAAACACCGGAGTTCTGGAGCTGAAGCTCAGAGGCTAGAGGAAGGGGTGCAGCTGCAAATACGGCACGTCAGAGAGCAAACCGGGAATTACAGGTGGCCCCACAGGCCCAGTCCCGGGGTCCCACCCAGGGCTGCCTCGCAGTCCTGCGTCCGCACAGCCTCACTCCCCCACCTTTGAGGCGGAAGCCACCCGCCCCACCAGCATCAGCAGGGCAGCGGGTAAACAAGCCACAGGGTAAGTGCCATGAAGTGCCGTTCGTCTGTGGGAAGGGATAAAATCCGACTCGCTACAGCACAGACGAACTCGGAAGACATCCGAGTGTGCATGCTGGGCGGCAGACAGCTTCGTGCTGCACGACTCCATCCGTATAAAACTTCCGGAAGGCGCAAATTTGTGGAGACAGGAATCAGGGAAGCAGTGGAGGAATGGGGAGTGGGGGCTCATAGTCCAGGGTATGGGAATGTTCTGGAAGGAAGCAGAGGTGTGGTGTGGTGTGCCTCGATGTGAGCAGACCAGTCGTGCTGGATTTCTCACTTTAAAACAGCTAATTTTATCCATGCGGATTTCACCTCAATTTGTTTGAGGCTGGGTCAGAGGATTGAGCATTGAGCCCTGGTCACCAAGACAAATGGCCTTTGGTCCTGAAATGGACGGCAGGGTTCTCCCGGAGAGCACCAACCAGGGACTGAGGCTGTCTCCTTCCTCTCCTAGGAGTGCCCTGGTGTCTTCCTGGGGGCTTCCTAGGGACAGTGGCAGTCTAGCTGAACAGGAGCTCACCTGAGCTCCCTGGGACACTCGGGGTCAGAGGCCGAGTCCAAAGAGGAGCTCAGCAGTTGGCCCACAGCCCAGCATCCTCACCAAGTCAGAGGTCCAGGTGGACCCCAGGCTTGCCCATGCCCTGGGCCTGCCCTAGCTGTAGCGAACCTCTGGACCCTGTTTCCTCACCCCGGAAGTGGGTAATGAGAATGCCTCTGCCCTGAGATTTCAGGGAGGACTGGGGGCTGACACAGAGGCAGGCCCAGGGCAGGCAGCTCCTCTCACCCGCGTCTCCTGACGAGCTGTTTATAAAAGCACTTTCCCAGCTCAGCTGAGGAATCTCAGAAATCCTTCCGAAGCCATTTGATTGTCCAAACCCAAACAGCCAGCCTGGGACAAGACAAGGGTGGAACTCCTCCCCGGGAATTCAACACCAACCACCCAAGGTACCCTGCTAACCAGGAGGTGGGGAGTCAGGAAGGAGCTCTGTGGGTGCCCCGGGGCCACCGCTCACGGCCAACACTGAGAACTCCCTGCACACGGGCAGTGGGCACCGCTCGGCAGCAACTCACAGAACCCCTGGATTCCCCCTGGGCAGGATGAGGAGTCTGAGGCTCAAAGGGATGACATGGCTTGCCAGAGCTTGGGTCCGACCCGGGCTATTTTTCCCAGAAAAGCAATTTTTTTTTTTTTTTACCTCCCGAGGTGCTGGGGCTGGGACTTCGGGCCTTGTGCCTCCTGGGCAAGTGCCCCACCACTGAGCTGTGCTCTCGGAGGCCCACTGCTCCTAAGGACATCCTATGAGGGCTCCGAAAGGTAGAAGGCCCCTGGGGCCTGCAGGCTGAGTGGAGCTTCCCAGGTTAGGGCCTCCTGGGGAAGGAGGTGGGGCTTCCAGGCCAGTGTGGGTCCCTGCAGGGCGCTCTCAGGGGGGCTGAGACAGGGCTGGCAGAGCTCCAGGTGGCACAGGCCAGGAGGACTGGTAAGGGAGTATTCTGGACACTAGTTCCCATGGTGGAGCTGACATGGACGGCCTGAGGGAGGCCACAGTGGCCGCGGTCCTGCAGGAAGGCCATGCAGCTGGCATTGCCTCTTCTTTTCTTGGAAGCATTAGTCCTGAAGGATTCCTGACTAGCAGTCACATGAGAAGGCCGGGGGGGGGGGGACCACTGTAGGTCTGAGAGGCAGAGGAAGGACCCTGCTGTGGCTCTAGGCTGACCCCTCCTATTTCTTGGATGAGGAAACTGAGGCCCACAGTCAACAGGGGTTTATCCAAGAGGGTGACTCCCAGTGGGCCACCCTGCATGCAGCCCTCAGTGTCCCCCTGGTACTGGTCAATAGCCCCAGTGGGCGCTAGCCCTGTGCTGTGCGAGGGCACTGGCAGGGATAACTTCTCAGGAAGTCTGTGCCGTGCCAATTCCTCTGCAGCCCAGCACACTGGCCAAGGCTCCGCGAGGCCGGCAGGAGGAAGCCCTGGAGATGTTGGAGTGGGCCGAGCCTCCCTGCACAGAGCATCTACCTACGCCTCACAGCGACACAGCCAGGCCCGGCGCTTCTCTTGATTATTCCTGGGGGATAGCTACTGAGGTCCTGGGGACAGTGGTGTCCCTCTAGGTCCTTGTTCACACCAGAAACAAACAATAGATAGACAGGCTGCCTAGGTTTGGGGGCCAGGAACACAAGGCCAGGGCAGATCCCCAGGGTTGGCTGTGCCCAGCCCTGAAGAGGGAGGAGGCCACGAGAAAGCAAAGGCTCCCAGGACACCAAGATGGACGCACTGCACTCTAGGGGGGACAGGACCCCAGCAAGTCCTGAGTGCAGGGGACATGAGAGCAAAGCCGCTGGCCTGCTAGGCCCACAAGGGACGGCAGACTGCCTGATTTTTGGAGGCTCCTGTCTGCTGTGGAACACTGTCCAGCAGTCCTTAGAGTGGTAGGTCGCCCCGGCTTCCTAAAAGAGCCAGCTTTGGAAGCGGGCCTGGGGTCCAATCCCAGCGAGGCTGCAGGGAGGCTGCTAGACACCCAGCTGGACACTGCCATGGTGACGTTCACTGAGCACCAGCCATGATGCCTGCTGCCACGGCTTCAGGGGTGGGGGTCACACGCCACCCTAGTGCTGCAGAAGCACACAGCAGGCTGTCAAGGGACACTCACAAACAGAGTGAGGGACAGCAAGCCTCTCTGAGCTCATGGGGGCTGCCTGCAGCCCTCCCGCCCTGGCCCCCACATGCTCATCACAATGTGTGCACAGCTGTGACGCCACCAGCACGCGGGCTAGAAGACAGCAGGCAGGAGGGGTTGGGGAACGGGCCTGGGCCTGGCATGTGGACAAGGGCCTCCCATGATGCCCAGCCCTGGGCGAAGGCAGCCTCATGCCAGGCCACCAAGGAGGTGGTACGTACCTCCGTGAGAACGGATGAGGACTCCGGCTTCGACACATTGTGGCTGTTGAAGAAGATGGACTCTCGGTCTGAAAAAGCAGACAGGAGTATGGGTCAGGGCCTCCAGGCCAGGGTGTGGTTCCGCCATCCAACACCAGAGGGCAGCACCACCTCAGCCACAAGCCAGCGCCTTGCCTCCAGGTCCAGCAGTAGGGCCAGGCGCTCCAGGGAGCTGGGCTCCCCACCCCATGGAGTGTACCAGGGATGGACTTGGCCCAGTTAGGGCCTCAATTTCATTTCTCACACAAAAATGACGGTTTGCTGAGCCACCTCCACGACCATCTCGTGATATCCCACCTGGGCTTCCCCAACGCCTAAGGTCCATCCTGAAAGATGCTGCAGATATGTCACCAAAAGGGCGCCAGGAGGAAAGGGGGCTAAGTAGGCAGGACAAGCCATGCACCCGATGTCGAAGGCCCCTCCCACCCATGGAACTCCTATGGAGACCCGGCCAGGCTGCCACCGCCATGTGAGAGCTTAAAACAAAGGTTCTGCTGTTTTCCAACTATTTAGGACAAAAACAGAAAACCAGAACATGGGCTTCCACGGTGCCCGTCCAAGAAGCTGCTCAGAATGACCTGCTCACCATGACACCCCCTCCACTGCATCCAGCTCGCGAGTCCCTGCGTGTGCGCCACCATCGCACCCACCCACAACTCCCACAGAGGCCCAGCAGCAGACCAGTCTCGGGGACACTGAGCGCGACAGGCTGACGGTGCAATCGTTCACCCCACTTGTAAATGTCCTCTGGAGTAACCAAGGTCACCCCGAGGAGCTGCAAGGTCGGCTGGTCAGCCAGAAACACGTTCTCAGGCACTTGGAAGCACAGGCACGTCAAGGCAAGAATCACAAAGCCAGGAGCCCAGGTCTGGGTCTGGCAGAGCCGTCACCACCTTGTTGCCTCCCCCACTCCCAGAACAGCCAGGACCCCCTGGCTAGGAGTCCCCAAGGGGCCTAGCCCTGCTTGAGTCCTTCCAGGGTGGGGCATCATGGGTCCTGTTCCCCAGGACACAATGCCGGGCCCTGGGACCCAGGCCCCCAAGCTGAAGGACAGGAAGGGACCAGCTGAGGGCCTGGGTGCCAGGGTGGGGGGCCTGCCCTGGTGCCGCGACCCCACCAGCTCCAGGACTCTGCGGCGCCACAGCGATCATGCAGAGGAAGTGATTGGGGCAGAGCCAAGCAGGCAGGCGCTGAGAGGTACCTGGCATCCTTCCCGCTAGCGGGGCATAGAGGCCCCTGGCCACCCTGGTGTGCCCGACAGTCCTCCCGCTGCTCCGACCAGAGCCAGTCCAGACAGGGGGCACGAGAGACGGTCCTGGGGAGGAGCCTGAGGAAAATAAACACCCTGCGGGACTCTGCCACGCAGTCCCACCAATCCTCTCCTGGCACCAGGGAGCCTTCGAGGTGGCAAAGCCCAGCGGGCCAGAGGCTGGAGCAGGTGCCAGCCGTCCATGCCAGTGGTCTGGCCTCCTGGAGGCACTGCCCATCTCCTCATCCTACAGCCCCCAAACTCAGAGCACCTTCCCACCTGTACCCCTGCAGGTCCCCAAGGAAAATGAACAGGGTGGCAGAGCAGGCAGAGAGGGAGAAAGGGCCACCATGCACAGGTGGACACAGCAAAGTCCAGGGAAGCTGGGAAGCTGTAGAAGCTGCAAGGAGAATGGAGGGAAGGGGACAGAGCTGCCCCAGGGGCCTGCCAAGCCCATGGAACTGGACAAACTGCGACCCACAATGGCTCCCTGGGGCAAGACCAAACGCACAGGATCTCCAAGGGGGACCCTACACTGCTACTTCCGGCCTGCGGTGCTCTGGCCAGAGGACTACTGGGCAGGGTGGCCAGCAATGACAGGTCCAGCAGCTCTCCACATGCAGCCGGGCAGGGCAGAGGGAGGGAAGAAGGGAGAGCACCTTCCAGCCACTGCCTGTCCCCAGAGACTATGGGAACCTGCGGGGAGCTCGGGTGGGTCAGAAGGAGCCTGAGCCCAGGACAGAGCCCTGGCACCCAGATCCTTGTCCCCTCTGTTAGGGGAACAAGGTCAGGGCCTTGCTGTCAGAAGCACTTTGAGTGTAGACGCCCCTGCCAGTCCCTGTTCGCGGATGAGTCCTAAGGACACACAGCCTGGGTGAAGGGCCACCTCGGCTCCCCACAGGATCGGCAGGGAAAGGAAGCCAAGACTGTTTTTGTTCTCAACTTACAGATGGAAAAGAGGAAGAGTAAATGAGCAGAGTAGCTCCCAGACCCCAGCACTGTGGCGGGGCAGCCCTGAGGTGCAGCCACAATCTGCTGCTCTTCTGCTGTTTACTGCCGCTCCCAGGAGGTGCATGCCACGACACTGTGGGTGGCAACCCAAGTCAACTTCCAGCTGCCACTAGATGCCACCTCTGCAAAGGTGCCTGTGTCTGCTGTGCCTCTTCCAAGTTACTCCCCTCACTGGAAGGTGTCCAGAGCCGCGATGTCTTCCCTGGAGTCTCCATCTCGGGGCAACTGGCTCTGGTCTCTCTCCCGTGTGCTCTCTCCCCCCCACTGGAATATCTACTCACGAAGGCAGGAAGTCTGGCTGGCTAGCCCCTGGCTGGACTCCCTCGGCAGGCTCAGTGAATGCAGCACCTCACTGCCTCTTCAGAGGCTCTGGAGTGGAGGACAGGCTGCCTGCATCTGTACCTGAAGCTTCCCTGGGCACAGCCCCGCCCACTCATTTACATATCTCTAGGCTGCTCCCATGCGGCAACAGCAGCTTTTAGTAATGGAGACAGCACTGGAGCCATCTACCCTGTGGACTCTGGTAGATCCAGCTCTACGTGGTAGGAGGGACCACTCTTCTTCCCTAAGGGAAAAAGGCCCAGGATGGAGAGTGTAATAGGCCCCTGCACAGGGCTGGGACCCCTGGCCCTGCGTCCTCAGGTCAAGGAAGCCCCACTGCACAGAGAGAGGGAACAAAGAGAGCCATCCCTCTGCCCCAGCGTGGTGAAGAGAGCACATGAACCTCAGGCAAGGAACACAGCGCAGTCCTCGTGTTCTTGGTGGCCAATGTCACCTTTGCATAAGAGCTTACTCTGGTTCCAGTCAAGGTGTCTGCGGGATGCCACTGCTGTTAAGTACACACCTGATTCTGGAGATGTTGACATGTGAAAAAAATGTTCCTGGGAGGGCTAGGGTGGGGCTCAGCGGGAGAGCACTTGCTCACACATGTGAGGCACTGGGTTCCATCCTCAGCACAACAATAAATAAACAAAGTAAAGGTATTTGTCCATCCACAACTAAAAAATAAATATTAAAAAAAGTATTCCTGAGAATCAAAAGCAAATGGCAGCTGAGAGACAAGTCCTTGTCTCTACCTCCCCCCAGGTCAAGAGCAGCCCTGAGCAGGGAGCCCAGCTCCCAGCCTGGACACAGGAAGTGTAGGACCGGCCACTCTGGGCAGTGGGAGCCACAGGCTAGGTGGGTGCCGTAAAGTGGCCAGAGCCCCCCAGCCCCGTTTAACCAGTGCATCGTACAGAGCTGCCGTCACTGAGGCCTTACAGCCCCCGAGAGGCCTGAATGTGAGCGCCGGGCCCCCTGCCATGTCCCATTCACCGCAAGACAGTGGTAGAGTCGGAGAATCACTGGAAGTCACTCGGTTGTCCTCTGTGTCTTTACTGTTTGGCCGGGGTCTGAGACACAGCCACGAGGAGGGACACGTGGAGAGGAGGGCTCCCCACGCACTGAGAAGAGAACTGGGCCACCATTTTACAACCAAGAAAGAAAAGCACACAAACACACTTTTGTGTGGATGAGAAAGGAGATCTGGCAGTAAATTTATCTTAGAAATGAAGTGATTTGGGTAAAAAAGGCAAGAGAGACATGAGAACGCTTTTTAGTGTGTGGTTCTGGGATGAACCGGGGCCACATGCATGCTAACAAGTACCCTCCCACTGAGCCATGGTCCCGGCCCTAACTATTCTTAATTTAATAGTTACACGTTCTTCATAAAGTGTGTATTTTTTTAAAACCAGGAAAATAATAAAAACATTGTGTGAAATGTCAGTCTCTTCAGGCCACACAGGGAAGAATGTCCCCTAGTGGACGCGTCCACTGACCCAACCCATACTATCCCCTCGCCCCAGGGCGGGTGCTGGACGGGTCAGGAGAGGCTGTCCTGACCCTGGAAGACTGCTGAGACTCGGCAGGGAGAGGAAGACACTGCCCCATTGTCCACTCAGTCAAAGAAAGGGAAAGAAAGTGACCCAGGGGAAGAAGAGCTGGAGGGGACGACGGGTAGCTGCTCCAGGCCAGCAGGCAGGTGACAGGCAGCCAGGCAGGTCCTCAGGAGGCCCGGGCAGGCCTGAAGGCATCTCCCTTGAGAGAGAAACGTGCAGTGCGCTTGAGCAAGCTGCAGGGCAGGCACGGGCCTCCCGGGAGCCCTCTGGAAGGCTCCACTTACTGTGAGGCATTGCTATAACACCCAAGATTTCTGGAACTCGCCTTAGAGTGGCCTCAGGACCCACAGAACATTCCTCACTGCAGCCCCACAGCTGCAGGTTTTTAACCCCATCCCTTTTCATGGTGGGTGCCAGGCCTGGAAGGAGGTAAGGGCAGAGGGAAGCTTCAGTGGGGTCTTGAGGCTGTTCCTAGAGGACCACCTCTAGGGCCCTGAAGGACAGCAGCAGCATGTGACATCACTGCTCAGGGACACTGAGGACCCCCCTCCATGGTTCAGGGCACGCTGGCTGATCAGGTGCGCACACGTGCAGCCCTGCACTAGGTAGGGGGTGTGTGACTGCCCCGGGACCTGACGTCCCGCATCGGGATCCTCAGTCCAGCAGGTGCTGCCTGCTCCAGAGCACTGGTACCCCCAGTGGCTGCAGAAACAGCTGGTGCTGGGGTAGTGGAGACAAGAAGCAGGGAGGTGGGGGACCAGCCAGCTTCCCGAGGGGCTGCAGAGTTGGCTGACCGTGCCCGCCCCGCACCTCCCTCCCCGTCTCATCACCGTGGGTCCTGGGAACTGTCTGGGACACAGGCAACTTCCAGGGGCCTTCTGGGGCTGATGGTGGTCCCAGAGTCTCCCAGCAGCCTGCTGGGACAGGGTGCTCCAAGACCTCTTTATCCATCTGCTGCACCAACTCAGCCTCAGGGCATCTCTCCAGCCTCCAGAAGTCACACGAGTGGCAGGGGAAGTGGGAGGACAGACAGCTGTGCTCGTCCCAGTGCGAGAGGCAGTTACCTGATGTGCCCGCAGAGAAGTTCTTGAGCGAGGGTCTCTGGACCACCGTGTAGGACTCGCCCACCACGAACACCTTGTAGAGCACGGCGTTGTGATTGATGAAGTTCTGGACCACACAGGGTGGCTGGATGGCACTCAGGCCCTCCTGGTTGAACACGATGGCCATCTGGGGAGACAGGGGACACGGGCTGCATCAGAGCCCACCACCCTCCTGCCTTCAACACAACAGCACATTACCAGCAGCATTCCCTATCCTGAGCCAGGGACACATGTGAGTGGAGATGGCTGCGAGAAGAACGCCTGCATCAGTCACCTCTGCTGCGGGAGTCGGAGTCCACCACGTGGGGGTGAACAGCTGGTGCACTGCACAACTCCTGAGAGCATTCCTCACAGTGCCAGCGAGTGGGGCCCCTAGGTCTATGCTACTCAATCCTTCTGACATCTGGGGGCTCTTCCACAAAGATCCAGGATGGGGGGCGGGACACTAGGCTGTGGATATGAACCTGAGGACCTGGTCCAAGCTGTTCCTGCTGAACACTCACTGCAAGCCCCTATTCTAACACCCATGTGAGTCACCTGGTGTCACCCTCGCGTCACCACCCTCTGACATCGATAAGACAGCAGGGTCGGTGACCTGCTGGAGGATGACAGCCTGGAATAGAATCAGGTGTGCCCAGCATGGGCCTCGCTTCTTACGCAGGGGCCATATAGGTGTCACAAACGGGCGTGTCTGGCCCCTGGTGCCCGGCCCCTCTGGGGCAACCATGCTGGTTGAGGACGTGGGGTGGGACTGAGGGTAGAGGGGCTGCAGACATGCTCTCGGCTCTGACGGAGGCTGTGTCTGTAGTGGCCTATGGGGTCTGTCTGCTCTAAGGACCATGGGGCCCACTGGAGCCAGCCACTGTGCTAGGTCATTGCTAATCCCTCTACCCACAGGCCCCAGGAGGAGCACAGGGCCTGGACAGCTGGCCGCCTCAACAGCTGCCAACCCTGCATGCCTGGTGCTCAGCTGGGCAGGACAGAGCAGAAATCCAGGCCAGCGGGGGAACCAGTGCAGTGTGTGCTGGGGTGGGCCAGGATATCCCCTTCGCCTCCAGCAACAGTGATGGGGCCAGGCAGCCCCAGAACCAGCTGGGCCCAAGGCCCCCGGCACTTCCCAGGTGGGCATGGGCAGGGCCTTCACCCTCTGTAAGCTAAACACCCAGAAGTCCTGTGAACATCAACTCAACCTTGGCCAAACCAGCTGGACATCCTGACCTATGGGAGGCGTGTGCCCACCCTGTGGAGGGCACCCACACCCAAGGAAGCAACCCTCTGAGGCCAACAGGCCCCAGGCACCAAGTCCCACAGCACACATGGGTCTCCAAATGCTGACAACAGGTGGACACTACTGCCGTGGGTCGGGAGAGCACTGGGGATGGGGGCGGGGCAGAGGGTGTGCGAACTTCCCTGGGGGTGAGGACCCACACTGGGGGTGAGGCTCGTGCAACCCCTCAGAGCCTGCCAAGAGGAGCCACCTGGATGCAGACCTTCCCTGGGGCCTGGTTCCACACCAGCTTTCAAACAGTTCCCTTGGGCCAGGTCACAGCGGGCCCCATAGTAACCCGTGTCCTTCACAGTCACTGGGAAGTCCCCATGCATAAATGCAGGTCAGACACTCAGAGGCAGGGTCATTTGCACCTCACAGCTGGCAGTGCCATCCAGCAGTGACGGGTTCCCAAGGCTGCAGTCCCCACGTGGCCTGGAGCTCCATGTGGCTGCTCCCTGCCCAGGGGCCTTCCCTGGCATGGACCAGTCTACCCACCCAGGGGTGTACCAAGACACAAGGACCTGCCAACAGAGGGCCTCTGTGGTGACCACGGGCAGACAGTGGCCAGGAAGCTGCCCTGGCAATGAGGGAAGCAGGCACAGGGGCATCCTCTGGCTGCCCTCTCCCTGGCTGTGGCCATGCAGATGCCCAGGCAGGACAAGCACGGGAAGGCAGTGCCCAGGGAGGCTCCCGCTGACCTTTGCAGCAGGCCAAGATCTCCTTCCCACGGGCAGGGCCGCCCCTCGCAGCACACCCGCTGCTGACACTGTTTATAGACATTTCCCCTAAATATCTCCCAGGGACAAGGAGCACGATATAAATCCAGAAAAGGTCGCTGCTGCCGGCTTCTGTTTTTAGTCTCCCCTGGTGGGGGATGTTCTGATGGCAGGGCTGCGGGGGACAGGTCTTCCCTACAGGGCCCACTCTGCATGCCAGGGCAACTGCCTAATGGGAGGCCCAAACTGGGTTGTGCCCAGGGCTTGAAGATGACATCCCCTGTGGTTCCTGAGGGCGGGAAGGGCAGCAGAGACCTCGGGGCCCTGCCCACTGCCTGCTTCTCTCACCCCCAAGTGCTTACAGCTCACGGCCACGCATGTCCCACAGGTGCAGTCTCCCTAAGGACTCACTGTCTCCCACAGGGATGGGGTGGAGCCTAGGCACCTGTTCCCTGGCACCTGCAGGAGGGTCAGACACATGTGCACAGGGAAGGATGGACAGGAGGGCAAGCGGGGCACAGCTAGCCAGCGGGCGTGGCCCTCCGCCTCAGCGCCTGGTGGGCAGAGATAGCCTTCCCAGCCCAGTGCCTGGCACTCTGGGCCAGACAACATGCAGCCAGGGACAGGTCAGGCTGGGTGTGACTTCTCTGGGCTCCCCTAGGGACCACATGCCCCTCCATCCATGAATTGAAGCCCTGAGCCCAGCATGAGGGTGTCTGGAGGCAGTCAGGTTTGGGTGAGGTCGGTGGGACCCTCACCTTGAGATGAGCACCCTCTGGGCACACTCTGCTCACACAACCACACACACGCTATGTACAGGCCACATGTGACACTGAGAAGCCAGGAGCAGCCTTACAGAACCCAGTCCTGCACCACCCTCATCTGGGACCCGCGGCTCCAGAACTGTGAGAGTCAGCGTCTACTGCTCAAGCCACCAGTGTGTGTGGCATTCTGTCACGGCAGCCCCAGCACCGTCCCAGCCTCAGGGACAGGAGAAGGCAAGAGAGGCTGGAGACGGCCTGCGAGGCTGCCACATTTTGTTTCCTCTACTCAAGTCCAGGGAGCCGGGATGGGAGCTGCACACCAAGAGGCTGTGCCCGGGAGCTTGGCAGGGTCCCAGCAAGACCTGCTGGGGTGACAGGGCAGGGGTGGTGCAGGGAGGCAGGGACAGGGACAATCAAGACTTCCACTCACCTCATGAGAATTGGTGCCGTGAGCCACTCTGGTCTTGCAGACTGCGGGTTGGAGAGAGGAAAGCAGAGAGGGATCAGTGAGTCCTGATGTCTGACTGGTGGACACAGGGCATCTCCCCAGAGGACCCCCTCAAAACTCCTGCAGCCACAAGGGGAACAGGGCAGTGCTGCAATTGGGGTAACGTGGGCAGATGCCACCAGCCCAGGCAGGACCCGCGCAGTGGTGGCGTGGAGGCGCCTGGGGCTGTGCCCTCCGCAGGCAAAGCCTGGGCCACCCTCAGCAATTCCAACCCTGTGGGCCTAGAACACCCACCCTGCCCGTGGCCATGCGGCCGAGCACGCGGCTACGTACTGAAGGGGAAGGCCAGGCCGTTCTTCTCCAGGAGCCTCACGGTGTCGTCCCCGCACAGGCTGGTGAGCTCCATGAAGGGCGGCGAGCAGATCCTGTCATCTAGGTCACAAAGAGAGGGGAGGTCAGCGCCTCCTCCAGGGCTGTCCTGGACCCTGCCCACCTCCAGCCCTGAGGGTCCCAAGCTCTATGGTCCCCTGAGTGGGGCGTGGGGTGTATGTGACAAGAGCAGCATATTCTTCAACTACATTTCCCAGCAATATTCTGTAATTATAAAATTCTTACATGCTAACTAGAAAACCTGAAGCACACAGAAAAGAAAAACACACACGTCGCTTCCACCTTTGCCACCCCTCCAGCATAGTCCCCTTCCTCCAAAAGACTGCAAGCCCCCAGGAGGTGGGCCCGCTCCATACCTCTGGCACAGGGCTGGGAAAGGCTGCACATGGGCAGGGCAGGTTGCCCTGCCCACCCCCCCCCCAAACTTGGGAGCCAAACCCAGAGCAAAGCAGCTGAGAGCCGTCCCCAGAGCTGTCCACTCCCTGGCTGGCCAGGTCAGCACACTGGAGCACGAGAGCCAGCCTTGTTGACCTCAGCAGCAATGCAAGAGCTGCACAAGGCAGCTCAGAAGAGCTTCTCGCCTCCCTGGGCATCCCACCCCACCAGGGCAAGTCTGGACTCCAGACAGGGGCTCCTCTGGGGGCCCTGGGAGGGCAGCTGGGAGTCCACGTTTGCCAGGCCCCTGGAGGGGTGGACAGCCCCGAGCAGTGCTCATTCCATCCTGAAGCTGCTGTGACGGCGCGTGGAGCACGGGTCAAGAACCAGAGGCCCAGGGTGGTTGTTGCCCAAGGTCATAGGACAGTCAACCAAAGAGCCAGGGCAAGGAGCCAGGTCTACCCAGCAGCCTGGAAGAAGAGAAGTCAGGAAAATCAAGCTGAGGATATGGGGGGTCCTGGTGCTCGCTGCAGGCTGTGACCCACACCCGCCTCATCTGCCCTCCCCCAGCATGAAGGATGGAGGACTGGCAGGAGGCTCAGGATCAGAGTCACAGAGCCACTGCTGCTCTGCTGTGGGGGCGTGATGCTGAGGTCCCAGTAAACTGCAGGATCTGCAAGGAGCAGGCACGAGACAGGAGCTTGTCAGGCTCCCACAGTGACCCCAACTGTCACACACCACTGCTGATTGCTGACCTGGGCCCACCGCACTTGTTCCACGTGGCTACACTGCAACTCGTTCATCCTCAAAGAGCCTCTGAGGACGCACCACCATCACTCCCACTTTCCATTTGAGGGAGCGGGCACCATGGAGACGCTCCCGGTGTGGAGCTAACAGTGAGCAAGAGGGATGGCCTGGGCTGGGGCTCAGTGATAGAGCGCTCGCCTAGCACATGTGAGGCGCTGGGCTCGATCCACAGCACCACATAAAAATAAATAAATAGAAACAAAGGCATTATGTACACTTCAACTAAAAACAAACAAACAAAAAAGAGGTACGGCCTAGGGTATGCTGGGTGGTTTGGCTCCAGGTCCAGCCTAGTGACCATGGCTGCGGGCTCAGGGTGTCCCTAACAGCATCTCCTCTGCTCGGTGGCAGTACTGAGACAGCAGCAGTTTCAGCAATGGGAAGCACGAAGGTGACCCCTGCAGTCCAGCCACCCACTGTGCGGAGTCCCACTTTCCACAGGGTCAGCCGCCTGTGGCCATCTACAGAGCACTGAGCTTTAACCCGCACCTGGCGAGCAGGGTGATGAGCAGGATGACAAGCAGGGTGAGGGGCTCTCCAGCCTGCACCACCCATGTCACAGCCCGACTCATTCCTGCGTCTAGCACGACACCACAGTCACCACCTCAGTTACCAGATCAGCTGTCCTAGAACACAGGCTTGCGCTCAAGGAACCTTTGCTTTACTTAATACTGGCCCCAAAGTGCAAGAGCAGGGATGCTGGAATTGTCCTATTTTGTTATGAGATTGTCGCCTAATTTAGGAACTTTTTTTTCAGTGCTGGGGATCCACCGGGACTCACACGTGCAAGTGATAGGCAAGCGCTGTATCACTAAGCCACACACCCCCCATAAATTAAACTTTATCATGTGATGTAGTATAGGGAAAACACAGTAAGTGTAGGGCTTGGCACTAGCTGAAGTTCCAGGCTTCCACTGGGAGTCTTAGAACATATCCCCCCTGGGATAAGGGACGAAAGCATAACACATAATCTCAATGATATAGAAAGCATCTCACAAGATCTAATACCTTTTTACAGTAAAACACAACAACTAGAAAGAAGGGGATTTAATCATCCTAATAAAGAGCATCCTCAGAAACCCACTCTTTAAGATAACATCAAATCCACCACTGAAAGCCTCGGTATTTTCCCCCTAAGATTAAGAGCAAGGCAGGGATATTTGTTCTGGCCACTCCTCCTCAACACCTTGCTGCAGACTCTAGACAGGGCCACTAGACAAGAATAATGAAATAAAAAACATCAAAATAGAAAGAAATAAAACTATGTCTGTTTGCAAATATTATGATATGGTACACAGAAAATCCCAAGAAACACACACACACACACACACACACACCCTCCCAACTCAGCTGGAGCTAATAATAACCAAGTTCACCAAGGCTGCAGGATACAAAAGCAACACAGGAAATACAACTGCATTTCTATACCCAACAATGAACACTCTAAATGTGATGTGAAGAAAATAATTTCATTTATAAAAACTTCACAAAGAATAGAATATTTGAGAATAATTTAATAAGTACAAAACAAACTCTGAAAACTGCAAAGTATCACTGAAGGAAATTAAAGAATGCTTCAATAAATGGAAAGACACACTAGGTTCATGAACAGAGTAAACATTATTAAGTTGGCAATGTTTTGATCTATAAACTCAACACAATACCCATTGAAATACCAGCTTTTTTTTTCAGGAATTAACAAGCTGACCCTAAAATTCACATTAAATGTAAGGGACCCAGAATAATCCAAACATCTTAAGAAGCACAAAGCTATAAGACTCACACTTTTTTTTTTTTCCAAAACTTTCCATGGGGCTGGGGTGTAGCTCGGTGGGAGAGTGAGAGCCTGGCCTGCACAAGGCCTGGGGTTCAATCCCCAGCCCACAAAAACAAAGAAATAAGTGAAACTTTCTACAAAGCGAGTCATTGAGACAGTACAGTACAGGAGTAAGGCAGCCATGCAGATCCATGGAAAAGAATGGAGAATCCAGATGTGAATTCATTCACCTGTGCTCAGTTGCAAAAGAACTTAATGAGGAAAAAATTTTCTTTTCAATGAATGGTGCTAGTACAACTTGTTACCCATTAGAAAAAGACTGAAATTGCAATCCTACCTCACATCACATACAAATTAATTAAAAATGGATCATGAACTAACTAAAGCTAAAACTACAAAACCCTATGAAGAAAACATCTGTGTGAGTCTTCATGGTCTGAATTAGGCAATATCTTCTTAAATATGGCACTAAAAGCACAATCAAAGCCAAAATAGATCAACTGGATACCATCAAAATAAAAAAACTTTCATGTTTCAAAAAGTACTGTAAAGAAAGTGAGAAGACACCCAGAGAATGGGAGAAATATTCTCGAATCATATATTGGGTACAGGACTAGTATTCAAAACATATAAAGAACAATTAAAACTAAACAATAAAAAGTCAACCCAATTTTAAAATGGGAGAAGGTTTCTGTTATTTTGTTTGTTTACTCATAGGTGGACACAACACCTTTTATGTGGTACCAAGGATGGAATCCAGTGCCTCATGCATGCCAGGCGAGGGCTCTACCATTGAGCCATGATCCCAGCCCCTGGGCAAAGGTTTTGAGTAGGACAGTTCTCAAAATAAGAAATAAAAATGGATAGTAAGTCCATGAAAAGATGCTCAACATCATTCACCATCAGGGATTCCTGTGTTGAGGATGTAGAAGATTCAAACCCTCATGCGTTGCCGGTAGCAATGTAAGTGACGTAGCCACTTCGGGAACAGTCTGGCAGGACCTTGGGCAGTTAAAAAGTTACCATGTGACCTGGCAACTCCACTCCTAGCAATGTGAATTACATCCATTAAAAAAATTTTATTTTTAAAAAGCCAGCAGTGCCACTTACTGAGTGCTCTCCAAGGGACAGTGAGCTAAATAATACCTTCCAACAAACCTGCAGAGTCTGTCCCCACTCCTGTCGAGTTCACAGTGAAGTCAGCGAAGAGACACTCCCCCCAGAGATGATGAAGGTATATTCCCCCCAGAGGTGATGTACAGGGACATTCCCCCGAGAGGTGACAGGTTCAGAAGAATTGCAAGGACAAGATACTCCCAACCAACATGTGGCGCCAGCACTAGTCTCTTATTAGACATATGGTTTGCAAATATTTTCCCATTCTATGAGTTGTCATTTTCCTTCCTTTATAGTTCTCCTTGATGCACAAAAGTTTCTTATGCTTCAGACACACCCAGCTCTCTGAAATCCTGTGTATAAGATGGCAGCCCCGGTGGTAGCAGGGGCCAAGTGGGCCAGACAAAGGAGCACAACCACAGAGTCACGTTCTTATTTGTCTATCCTGATTTATAGCTGGCTATCCACACCACCGGCTGCATGCCTGACTGACTCTGGGGAGGGGTGGGCTGGAGCTGAGCCTGGCCCAATCCCACAGCCAGATGAGACCCATGTGCCAAGCTGAGGCCCAGGGAACCAATCTTAGGTGAAGGCAGCCCAGATCCTGCAGAGTTGAGGCAGGGGAGGATCTGTCCCTTACTGGGCTGTAGACCCCTTGGAAGTGCTGGTACCAACAACATCTGTGCCGCCTGAGCCAGTTTCTGGCCACCTGTAGCCCACCAGACCTGCCTGTGAAATCACTATGGACTTGGACACTACCCACTGTTCTTAAAATTTGATTTCGACGACCATTCACCGCCACCACCAACAAAAACGCACTGAGCGCCTCCTGAACTCTGAGCCGTGACAGTGTGTGATCGTGGACACCCCTCCCTGCACGGAGCTCACTCCAGCCCAAGGGGCCGGGAAATGACCCACACAGAGGAGTGGTACAGCTGGGAGGGGAAGCATGGGGTACGTGAGGGAA